TGCAGTCTCCAACCAATAGTGTTATGCGAAGTCATGACTGCACAGGGGGGTGGCGACATTCTTAACCACCGTGACAAAACAAGTCGAACAAAATCGACTACAGTCATTGTGACCCACAGTTTTAGATGAGGATGAAGGCTACAACCTTATTTTAGACTACCAAATCACAATAATATGGCCGACATTTGGCATTGTTTGCTACAGGTGTTGACTTTGAAGTAGTGACCATGCAAGGTCAATAAACGTTTACAATACCGGTAACTCAGAAATGTCGTTATGCACTTAAAATATAGCATAACAGAACAATTCCAGGATGTTCAGGCAAAGGGTCTATTCACTTACAAACAACAAAATCGTCTGACATGAAAACAAACGAAGTGAAACGTCTTATGCCTTTACTTCTGTAAGACGTCGAACAGCTCAAACTATCAGCCAATCAGGGGCTAGCTCTCCAACACGCGGCCGCTTGAGAGAGACCTTTAAGAGTAATCTCCCTTAGACACTGGATTTCAACGCGCGTGACTGACATGGTCATCTAAAACCAACAAGCCTGCACTTGTCTCTCCAACCGCTGAAGCCTGGAACATATCATTGATGTACATTAGTAAAGTAAAGGTAAAGTATATTTTCAGTTTGTAGGCCATCGGCCCATGTACAAAAGGCAATACAAATGATACAGTACAGAATGGCAACTGGTAGACATTTGTGTTGTCATTTTACAGGAGATAGACATTTAAGAGCTGATTTGATAAATTTAGCTCAATTCAATAAATGTACCATGTGTTAAATTATTCCATAAAGGTAACTACGTTTTTTGTAGTGTTACATATTTATCACCTTCAAACAAGAAGTGGACTTCATCTTCATTTCTATCAGAGTTCATAGTTTCCTTCCATCTAATATTACATCATAATGGTAATACATTGAATCTTAACAAACATAAATATCTTCTTAGATCTCTTACATTAAGTCTTAAAATGTGATTATCAAAATGTGATTATCAAGAGGCAATGATGATATAATACTTTTCAAATGTACAAGACTGAATGAATCCATGATATTGCTTTTAGTACTTTGTTTTGAACAATCAAGTATCCGCTGCTGAAATAATGATAAAAGGCACATTTCCAATGTCTTGGGAAAGCCAAACATAACCAAATCTATAATCATTTAAAAGCTTAGGTATTTTTGAAACCAGATAACATGTAAACCTACCAACAGAATCTAATCTAAGTATATCAGTGACAACACCCACCCCCACCCCACCCCACCCCTTTTTAAAAATTGACTAAAGACCACGTTGAAGTTAATGTTTTGCAATGGCAGAGCCAAGGTGGGGTTCAAACCCTGAAACACCCCTTGAAAATTTCTGGATCCGCCTATGTATATAATTTTAACTTTGTTCAGGATGACGATCATTAGACATTCTTACCAGTTTACACCAAAATGTAAAACATTTCATACTATATCGTCCACATTCAGATAAATTACTTGGTATATGTTTGCCAACTCCCAAAACCAATTTGTAAAAATTATTATGAAATTTATTAACAACACTTCTTTCTTGAAATCCCCACACCTCCGCCCCATACAGCAATATTGGTTTTAGTTTACAATCAAAAGGTTTAAATAACACATGAACAGGAATATTTGTAAATTTATGTTGTAGTTGTTTTATAACTAATAAGGCTTTGCTGGCTTTTGCCACTAGCGTCTTAGTGCAAACACTCCAAGACAACCTAGTAGAAAGCAAGATGCCAAGGTAATTATAATATGTTGATGTTTTAGTTGTACGCCATCGGAAAACATTTGTCATAGTTACGAAGGTAACCCCTCATTTCGAAACACTAAAATCTCTGTTTTATCCATGTTAACTGGTAATTCCCAAGACTTACAAAATTTACACGAGATATCGATTTTCATGTGTAGCCCAACTTCGCTATCATCACAAATACATAAATCACCAGCATACAATAATAATAACAACTCTAAATATTCTTTACCGATAAATATACCTTTGACATCAGAATCTTCTTTCATAATTTGAAATTCTGAGATAAACATTGAAAATATAAATAGACTAAGGGCACATCCTTGTCTTATTCCACTATAGCAATCAAAATACTCTGTTATAGAAGTGCCAGGTATTCTAACAGAAGGTTTTATTTTAGAATACATATTTTGTAAAACCAACAACTTTCCATGAACGCCTTTGTTCATAACTGAAAACCATAACAAAAATTCATATACTATCCCACTAAAGAAACGCATAGGCCAGAAATCTGTTGCGAAAATGTTGTATTTTCAAACATGTATAACTCGTCCACAAATAGACTTTAGTACATGAATAATTTCATCGGTTGAGAAGTAGGAAATGTCTATACAACCAAGTGGATCATTTTAGATAACGGAGACGTTGAGCGCGATGGTGACGACGTAACACGGTCCCGACGTCGGGTCTTCTGGCTCTCAGTCCAACACGCCTCAGGTCCTCTATGGCTCAGTCGAACGACTGCTGGGTACGATCAAGGTACAGAGTTGCGCATCTCTGTCACCGAGGTTCGAAGCCTACCGTTCGAAAACAAAAACACACGGAGCTCTCAGGGAGAGCGCAGTCGACCACAACCCCACGGGAGAAATACCAGCGCACCATAAACATCATAAGACCAGGGAACAGGCGGGTCTCTGGTCAAAACATCAATTTCTCCCTCCGTGGGTTGTGGCCACAGAGGGCTTTTGCTATTTCTTTATTTGAACTTGCACATCGAAGGATGGTTCTCGCTATTTTTTTAAGGGGGACTGGGAGGCTTAATTCCCACAAATAAGCCTCTAAGCCGCATCTGCGGTAGTAAAACACAGACACACACACACACACACACACACTCTCTGTTACTACTCGTGTGCATCCCCGAAACTTAGATAGTAGGGGAATGGCCATCATATATTCTGGGAGGACTTTTGTTTGAGACAGGGTGTATGTGAGGCATCGCCACAATACATACATTGTGATCCTCTGCAAGGAAATAACAACCTCGCCGGCAAACTATTTTCTTTTCATATTTTTTCCAGATTTTCGAGACCAGATTTTGTTTTGTCGAAGGTAGTTCTGTAACGCGTAATGAGATCTGGTGTTTTTACTGCAGGGTGAAGGTCAAATGACAGGTATGCTTGTTATGGGCCTACTGAGATTTCTGCTGCAGAAAATGGAAATTACGTAAATCCCTGAATAAACAGTTATCCATTTCTACTGCACATCAATCGAACCAGAAAACGGCAAAACAACTTTCCTCGTTAATGGGGACTGCTCAGTGGATCAAGATCAATTACTCTTAATCATATATGACCCGAGGAGTCCGCCTGCTGTGAGGCGATAAATCAATAGAAATTGCATTGTTCAAACAGTGATTCAGAGCAGGCCGCTTGATGAGAATATCCACCCTCGTAGTTACTTTAGCCATGCTATCTTCCCACATCAATATGTCTGACGTGCAGATTAAACTTTTTTTACTTTGACGTAAACACTAAATTGGCTTCGTAGTTTCAATTGGCTTGTAAATGTTACGGGAACTGCATGAAACGACATGCGTTTTTATTCCGCAATATGGCCTCCTGCCTAATGTAATGGCAATAAATGAAATAAGGTCGCTGTGACCAGGGATAATCTACAACGTTATATAGTCTCCCTGCTGTGACAAATGAAATACTAGCACCAGTGCGATTGCGCTTTTGGCAAATTGTCAGACATTTCATGAAGGGTACATACGTGTGCATGCATTTTATGTGTTGCTGCTTGAATACATGAAATATTATTCATTCTTCTTCTTCACGTGTCCTTGCGTGCGTTTATGAAAAATCATCACGTGTGTCTCCTTGTGCTTGACTCGAAAAATACATCACGAGTACAATATGCGCATGTGTACGTGTGGCGTTGGTGTACGAAACATCGTCACGTGTTCATCAATCAGACCAACATCGAGTCTCTGAAATGAACATAATTTACAGAAATAAACAGTTCCTATGTTATAATCATATCATATGAAAGACTAGTACATCAATATGACGTGTACGTGTAAACCGTGTGCGCGTTTCATGGAGGCTTGCTTGCGTGTCTGTCAAAATTACCTCTTGTACATCACGTTTCTTCGGGGCGGTGGGGTAGTCTTGCGGTTAAAGCCTTCGCTCGTTACGCCAAAGACCCGGGTTCGATTCCCTACATGGGTATAGTGTGTGGAGCCTATTTCTGATATTCGCCGCCGTAATATTGCTGGAATATTGCTAAAAGCGGCGAAAAATTAAAACACACTCACCTGTCTCGTTTGCGTGTCTGAAATTTAATGTATGAATAGGGACGTACGTGCAGCTGTATTCTCACACAAATATGTGAATGTCATGGAAGTTGAAAGTGTTAACGGGTTAACTGGCTGAGCCACTTTCCCAAACGCGCAATCGCACTCGTGATATTATTTCATTTATCACACCGGTCTATATTTGCATGAAATATTGTAGTCAGTCTTGATTTTACGACTATGAAATGATTAACCAATGACCTCCCGCTCTGAATAAACATTTCTCGTTAGGTTGCTGAGACTAACATAATAGGTTTCATTTAACGCAACTATCTCCTATAAATGAGTTACATCATAAATATTACATATTGTGTATTTATATTGCAATACTAATATAGTATTCTCGCAGTCTGTGTGGGTCTTGTGGAAAATCACGCATCTTTGTATTTCCCATTCTAAGAAGCTTTAACAAAACTGTTTGTTAATCCTAGATACTATTATGGACATGGATCCTGTCCGCCTGTTTGACAATCACAAAACAAAACATTTTTTGTGGGTTTAAAATTAATAAAATTGAAAGAAACCTAAACTCTGAGGCTTTAGCATGCTGATTAATGTCAACATGTTTTCAAATTTAATATATTGTTCGCTAAGGAACGCCGTTCGTTTTATATTTCCGAAATCCAAATTTACATCAACCGACTTTCCCGGCCGACATCAAAGTGGTCACATGAATGTCATGTGACTGCGGTTTACGATGGTTTCGTCACTGGGTATCGTGATATCAGCGATGTTTCTCTGTACTGTTTTTACGGGTCCGGCATCATGTGTGGACCTAAAGCGTGTAATGCAACAAATATCATCATACCAGAGTGTTGCAGACCAAATTATTCAAAGATCGGTGTATGGGAAATCCCAAAACCAGTCGTATGAACGATTAGCCAATTTTGTTGACAAATTCGGAAGTAGGTTGGTGGGTACTCAAAACCTCGAGAACTCAATAGACTACATGCTGAATGTGTTGAAGGGAGACGGCCTAGAAAATGTTCATGGAGAAGAGGTAACGGTCCCTCGCTGGATCAGAGGTAATGAGTCGGCGACTATGCTCCAACCCCGGGTACACCCCATGGCTATTCTTGGACTCGGAAGTAGCATAGCGACACCTCCAGAAGGGATAACGGCTGAAGTTCTTGTGGTGAAATCATTTGATGAGCTTCATAAGAAAGCAGATTTAGCTAAAGGGAAGATCATTGCGTATAATCAAGACTGGGTGGAATATGGAATTACTGTTGCGTATCGCGAGAACGGCGCTGTGGAGGCTGCTAAAGTAGGTGGCGTAGCTTCCTTAATACGAAGCGTGGCATCATTTTCCATCTACAGCCCCCACACAGGGATACAGGAATATAACGACAGTGTTACCAAGATCCCAACAGCCTGCATCACAGTTGAAGATGCAGAAATGATGTACAGGATGTCGCAGAGAGGGGAGAAGATAGTCGTTAATTTGAAAATGGAGGCCAAAAATCTGCCTCCTGTTAAATCCCGTAACACAGTCGCAGAAATCATTGGCAGCAAATACCCAGAAGAGATTGTATTGGTGAGCGGACATTTGGATAGCTGGGACGTCGGCCAGGGAGCGATGGACGATGGGGGCGGGGCGTTCATCTCGTGGCAAGCTCTATCCCTCATCCGCCAGCTCGGACTCCGCCCTAAACGTACAATGAGAATGGTAATGTGGACGGCAGAGGAACCCGGCCACGTTGGTGCAGTACAGTACTGGCAGAGACACAAGAACAACGTCAGCAACTACGATCTTGTGATGGAGTCGGACGGGGGTACCTTCACCCCCACGGGACTGGGATTCAGTGGTAACAAAGCTGCAACTGTTATCATGCAGGGAGTGCTCAATCTGCTTAAATCTATCAACGCAAGCACTTTGACATCGCCAGCTGATAGTGGGGATGTTGCCAACTTCGTTACAGCCGGGGTGCCAGGGGGTAGTCTCAATAATATGAATGACAAGTACTTTTATTTTCACCATAGCAACGCCGACACAATGACGGTTCAGGACCCACACGCGATGGATTTGTGTTCTGCATTGTGGGCAGTTGTCAGCTACGTAGTAGCTGATATGGACCAAATGTTACCTAGGGATTAGGTTGTTTAACAATATGCTAATATAACAGAGTGTTACTTGCATGGCAGGGATACCACTGCTCCATCAAACGTATCTTTTATGTTCAACAGTTGAAAAGGGTTTTGACCAAACTGAATTATTCTACCTTCGCCTTTAAGAACCACATTTCCAACATAATTCAGATATAATTAAATCGGGAGGAAATCTTTCAAATAAGACAGTCATCCTTGTGTGTGCGTACAGTATCACTTTAACATACAAAATGATACGTATCTTCTGTTTTACCATATACCACTCACGTTATGTTTTCATTTGAAAAACACTTTGAAATACCTCACTCACTCTATATGTTCGTTTTGACTTCTGGATCTCATCCTTTGAAGGATTTGTTTTCACAAGTGTATTTCTATTTAGATTTGTTTTCACAAGTGTATTTCTATTTAGATTTTGACTCCACATATTTACAAAGGACTTTGTAGTATGATATTATTATTTACAATTCAGTTTACTAGCCTCTCCTTGTAGTCTATAGTCTTACTTTGCGACAAGCTGTTTCCATCCTGTCTTAAATACATGAACAGGCTGCCATGTATATCATGGTAAGTCATTTACGCCGCAATTATTCAGTTATTCCGAATGATACGGGGTCTTTATTATTTGGTTTAGTGTCAGCTATAAGTATCAGTTGAAAGTATTTCTCTGTCAGTGAACCGTATTATGTACTGTCACGTGATTCCCTGTGGTCACTACTTGTCAAGTGGTCGCGATCATAAAGCTAAAGTTGCCATCTGTTAATATTGTTAATTTATTCCACGAGCTCCTGTGGTGGTTATGCCCATGTATCTAGATAACATCTATTTAAAGGATACTTTGTGCAGATATAGAAGCCTGGGAACTGCCACTCACAGACACCTGCAATGAAGACATTCAGTTCGCACATACAAATGCCCGAAAGTAGCAGGAGGGAATTTCTGCTGGGACACGTGTACATGGTTTGTGTGTAGTGGAGGTGTTTGTACATGAGATGTCAGAGAGTCAGTGTAATGTGTGTGTATACAATTAATATATTGTAACAAAAGAAAGAAATTCATCAGTTCACTGTTTAGTATTATATATATGTCAACATATTTTCTGATTGAAATAAAGTCTATTTATGTAAATATCCGTTGCTTACATCATAGAAGCGTTTAGTACAGGTGCAGGCTTTTGTACAAACTTGACAATGGGTAAGTGCATCCATATACAGAGAACATACAATAAAATGTGCTTTTTATCTTCTGGACAGTGGGAGCAATATTTATCACCGACATTATGATCACATTTATCTTTACGTACGAAATGTGCAATAGCCACATGTAAGTTTAAGACGGACCTTTCTGTAATTAAGTACATTAATAGTCTGGACATCCGATTTAAACTGAAGGCCTGATTTCATGGTTAAAGAAAACATAAATGATCCTGTATCTCCGAGAAATGAATGCCAGTTTTGTTTAGCACAACCAGCAACATGTTGTTTCAAGACAAAGGTAAATACTTAGTAAGGATATCCGAACATGGCCGAAACTGTAACTAAACAGCCAAACGTGAGGTGACAATTTACTTATTTCCCGTAACTGGAATCACAACATGATCAAAACATATTGCAAAACTTGCCACACGCAGTTGCTTTATTTGTACATTGTGCAAACATAATGTCAATAACGTTAGGCAGGATCTTGTAGTTTAAATGGGTTTATAAGGAAGACAAACGAACAGATCAGATTGATATTTTCTTGCATGTTAGAAGAGATATATTTTGAGCGGTCAACGATCAGACATGGTTTGTTTTGCACTTTGGATGATTCAAAGTCATAGTACTGTCGTATTTGGTCGACCCCAAAACTGAACGAACATTTTGCCATGAACCAACTCCGGCAATGTAACAATATTTCATGACCACACACCTATATACTAAATGACTAGTGCCCAAATAATTTCAATGTCTGTGTGTGTGTTTTTTGAGTGAAAAGTACAACTGTCCTTTCATTCAATATTTTTTGCATTTAAAATATCATTCACACATTCAGTACATCTTCGAAGATCATTCAAAACGCTTAACGCTGATATTAAGTTCTCCCTTTCCATCGAACACAATAAGCCCTCCCTCACTTATTTCGCCGCTTACACCACTGAAAACAAAAAAACCCCGTTATTTGTATATATACGACTTTCTGGGAATAGTTAACATTAGTGGGATATCTTTGGATATTTCCAACTTACCCATGACCCCCATCATGAACTCACCGCAGGAAACGAACTGGCGAAACAGAAATTAATATTGAGCGTTACAAGCGACAAAACAAAAATCCAACATGGGGGCAGTGTTTTCGAATCCCGAAAGGGAGAAGGGCATGCTCAGCGAGAATTTAGGGGGAGGGCCCATGGGACTTGGTATGGCTTTTTTCTAAATAACATATTATATTTAACTGACCATACTTATGTCAGTGTCTGAACATTACTGTGATGTGTGGTTTTGAGAATTTCTACCACGGAGAATATCGAGCATGATGAAAGAGGGACCACACCATTAGCGGCAATGTACCGATGTGATATCTGCAATAATTTACAAACTTGATTAACATTGAGAATTGCCAGTAGAAGCAAAAGATTCAAATGTCGAAAGTACCTGCTTCAATACCGGTTACTTGTTATTCACCTCTGGTCTGCTAACCCTCTAGTTACCACAGGGTCCTCTGATTCTAATCTAACCCCCTAATTTGAAGTCAGATAAAGTTTCAAAATACATCACTAATTCACTTCATAGGTTTGAAATGTGAAATGCCAAGTTGTCAGTTCTGTGATAACCTCTCACGTCTCATTTTAAGGCAAAGAAAAATTGACAATGACCAGATGACCTGAAAAAAATTGACACATAAAAAATTTCACACATTTCATTTTGACACATCAGATATTTACTCAGAGAAATAAATTAGTGACCAGGAGAATCAGTGCATCCATCAAGTCAAGGGTTCAAAACTTAGGGTCATACTTGTCGTGTGTTCCAAAGTAAAACAAAGTGATTTAGTTTACTACTCGGCATATTAGTAACACAATGCATTGTGTTGCCATGGAGGCACGTGCACTAATCAATAATGATTGGGTAATATCCCTCTGCAGTGACCATGTCACTTCGATCCTCAAAGATCTTATTGGCAACGTTTGGTTTTCACCAAACACCACGCATGTTTTTGATGAGTAATTGCATATAATGTACATACATTGACATGCGTGTGGGTTGCTTCTCCGTCCATAATTTCCGATGATTAGAAATTTATGTTTGCCACTAATTACATATTTCGTGTGGTGCATCTTCCAGATAATAGGGTGACAATGTTTTGTGGCATTGCACAATATGCAAACTGTGCTTCTTTGCAGGTGACCCTGATGATCTGACCCTGCGCAAAGCTGAGAAAGAAATTGTCATCCCCCAGAAGATGAAAGCCAAGGCCAAGAAGGGGAAATGTGCTGAACAGGTCAAAGGTAATTCTCTAGGGATATCCCTAACTAAAGACCTGCAACCATTTTCGTTTATAGTTAAGGCAACCAAAAAAAACCATACAATTACAAATGGCATGTTAGAAATGAAGGCTATTGTTTCACAAGCAAGGCGCTTTTATTAGGCTTTGGTTAGCCTCTAAAACCAACCACACAACCACAACCAACAACTCACACAAAATGGTACAGCACCATCAGTTTGTAAAGTTATTAACAATGGTTGGTAGAGCAATTTGCTGTCACATCACTTTAACCAAGTTAACTTGCTACTTCAGTTCTACTTTCAGAGATACTGTAATGTTATGAACAATGATTGACACCCTATGGTGTTGTTAAAACAATGATGGATTATGGTGTTACATTACTTCAAATTGTTGCTTCAGATCTTTGAGAATCTTAGAAAAAACAGTACATTTCCATCTTGGCAATAGTCTCTCTGTTTTTCTTTTCATGCCAAATTCAACATTTGTTGTTGTTTAGCTGTAATATGGTGCATCCAAGTTCAGAACAGTTCCAATTGTTGCAGAGTTTGGAATCTGTGCCAAGGAAGCTGGTCTGCTGCTGCCATTCAAATGCAGAAAACAAGCCAAACAAATGCACATCTGTCTGTCGGCAGCGTAAGTTGACAAGGAAACAGTAATATTGACAGTGATTATTTGTACTGTAATCATCAACCATTTTTGTTTCATAAGTGTGTAGAAATCAGTAATAATAATGTGTCGCATCTCAAATTTGAGTGTTAGAAAATTGGAAAGTTGCTCACATTTAGTTATCGTTTTAGTTAGTGATGTTGTTAAAATGGCCTTGAGACTCGTAGTCTGCCTATGAAATTATGATCTGAGTGTTCAGATATCACATGTATCATATCTAAATAGAGGGCACAAATACACCAGCCATCTCCAGGGCAGTATTTGGCTGTGCAGAGTGGCAGCCCGTGGGCATGCCAGAAACAAAATGACTGTGGGTTTGAATACTGGTTTGCCATGATTATGTTTCTAGGTTTGTCATGGGTTTCACCAAAATGGTAAATACTAACACCTCCACCAGTTAATGCTTTCCTCCCTTTCCTGACACATTTTGCTACACCTGGAATACTGTTACGAGTGGCACTAAACCCAACTCACACAACTATTTAAATCATACATTTTTCGATTCCTACTTTACAATTTACTACATGGAGACACAGATGGGTAAAAATCTCTTATATAATTAAATATGACAGACGTTTTAAACGTAATTTCACTCAACACTGCTCAGTGAAGTATATATTAGAAACAGCCTGGGTTTCATTTCCTACATGGGTACAATGTGTGTCCTCCATGATATTGCTGGAATGTTGCTAAAAACGGTGTAAAACCGTCGGCATGAATCTCATTTATTATCAGGATCATATAGTGTCAAATAATTGGTAGCCATGTTTTTTTAATCACTTACATATCAGAAAACCCATTTCATAAAAGCCTGATAACAATATTCAGTAGTTGAATTGAGCAAGCAGACATTGTATCAATCAATGGTTTGAGATTTGAAGTAGTTCCTGCTTGACCTCATTTGCAAATTTATAGAATCATGGTATCCGGTTTATAGGTTTGGTTAATCCCAGGAAAATGTATATGCTAAGCCCTGTCGTAATCTTCCAGATATGCAGATCAGGCATTCATTGATGAATGTACACAGGAGTATCTGAAGGAGAGGTCGGAGTACCGCAGGACTGGAGTCAAACAGAAAATGAAGAAGTCAGAGGGTGTCATGATTTAATCCAGTCACTTTGAGAGAAGATGGATAACTGTGGAGAATGAAATCCACTATGGTGTGATGATTGTGTTTGGAAGTTCAGTAAACTTGTTGAAAGTTGAAATTAGGATTTAGTAAGGACGCATTTATCATGGTGGTTTTGAATCTAAAGGGAGATAATGCTTTTTGAATGGTGATTCAGTGGTGATTTTAGGACTGTGTGTGAATACAGCTGTCTTAACATTGATAACCCATTTATCATGTTAATACTCTTGTTCAGTGATGAAGGACTGTCGTTACATTAGAACATTATGGATCCAGTGGTGGATGGATCTAATGATATAAACACAAGCATGAAATATAAACATGTGATAAACGGCAACTCTTGACTTGTAACAGAATCAGTGGAGATATACCAAATTACCATGTATACAAGTTGTGGAGAATGAATGTGTGTGTGTAAGAAGCTGAAACTCTTGTTACTGATGTATACATAATTCAAAGATACTAGTTTTGTTGATAGTGAGCTTAGTGATAGAGCAAGCTACGATGCTGTGCACTGAGTTACTTGTATGTAGAAAAGAGATATGTTGAAGGTATAGCGCAATGGTGTTGATGTGGGTGGTTCCTTGTGCTTTCTACAACTTGAAGCTATTGTCACTCCTTTTGCAGTGATTATCGTTCAAGAGATTGGAAGGGTTTGTTTTGTAAAAGCATTTAGAAGTGATTCATTGTGACTGTTTTGCAAATGTACCTTCACAAGGAAATGTATATTTGAAATAAAATATCAAAAACCTACACTTTTGTGTTCTAGATACATTATAGGTGTGTAAATACATTATACAATTACAAACTCTCTCATTGGTTAATACCTATCATAGTTATTACTGTCAAACCACAAATGAAGGGAACACCTAAAATTACAAATGTTCCTTTATGTATTCCTGGATTTTCACAAACTGCATGCGAAGAAACAAGGAAAAGAATTTTTGCCTATTCATTTCCATCACTACATTTCCAGTATGAATGCATGTGCAACAAACAAACTTTGAGGTATAATTGGTTGATAACTTGATATAATCTCAGTTCTACACTAGTGTTAAACTACTGGAGTTGTGATTGTCTTAGTGGCTAAATTGTAGATTCTGGTGATTAAGAAAGTGAATCTTTCCTGTTGGTCACCCAAGTGTTTCTTCTCAAGCTATAGTAACCAGATTCAGTGAGTGATTAAGTGTAGTTAAAGTTGCTACATTCTGGTTGTATCGCAGCAGTCTGTAAACGATGGGCCCAGCAATCCTGTGGTTCACTGCATGACCAACAATCCACAGTGGCCATGACAACAAACAATACACTCAGCAATAAATGTAACTGCAAGGTCACCTCGACAAGCATGAGTTTCAGGACATTTTCGCACAGCCATGATCCCATGTTAGTCAGCTCTTGTGGGAGTTGGGTTTTACGCCAGTTTTAGCAATATTCCAGCAGTATCACAGCAGGGTGGGGACACCAGAAATGGGCTTCACCCATTGTACCCACATCAGGAATCGAACGCGGGTCTTTGGCGTGACGAGCAAACGCTTTAACCACTATGGATATTATCTGGTTTCTTCAGGGTCTCGCCGAAGACCCGGGTTCGAATCCCAACATGGGCACAATGTGTGAAGCCCATTTCTGGTGTCCCCCCGCCGTGATGTTGCTGGAATATTCCTAAAAGCGGCGTAAAACCAAACTCACTCACTCACTCACTCAGGGTCTTTCCTGTTCACATGAACATAGTCGATTAGATTGTGAGATGTTGGTACTAATGGTAGCAGATATATACACAAACATTAACAAACTTGTCTCAATATCAAGTTTAATGTTTCAGTACTTGCCGTTACAAGTAAGCCATAAACATTTTTAGTTCATATTTGTCAACAATACAAAAGTTTGTATCTTGATGTTATATACAACATGTAATTATCATCCAACATGATCATGGTTGAAGATCGCCTGAGTGACATATTGTACACACTACAGAAATACTCCGCTCTGTTGGGCTGTCATCAGACTGTTGTTGTCCTGGGACCTACACTGCAGTCCTTGAAGTTCATAATGTCAAGAAATGTGATTAAGCGATATATCCATATCTATTTTAGATGTTTATATGTGCCAATTTCAGATTTGTAATAAATTGTATTTGTTATGGAGTAGCAACAAAATGTAATTTTTCAAGTAAAATTGATATTTTTATACTTATCCTGACTCATGATCTTTTGCTTATCTCCCTTTTCCTTGCGAATGGTAGTGGAACACTTGAATCCCTTGAAGGTCTGGAAGCGGACGTAAAAATGCACTCACCCACGAGTTACCTCCCTTTTCTCGTTCAGTGATATAAATCACGTATTCCCATTGTGGATAATATAAGCCATCATGACAAAGGAGGCTGTCGAGACGTATTGTCTGTATGGATCTTGAAGAAATACAGATGTTGAATCTAGTTGATAGGATATAAAATCCTAATCCCCACGCTGAGTGACGAGTGGTCAAAATATCATCAGTACGTCCGTTCAAGGATACTTGAAGGCGTTGTTAACCTTAAGCCCTTTACAAAGGTCGCCTTGAGGTTCTCCAGTACTTCAGATATCGGCTTCATAGGTGATATCATATTGGAGTCGAAGTCATCAGCTTATATGCAGTCCGTCTCTGTTGGGTTGGAGTGAGTGAGCTACAATATCCGCAGGCCATCAGCTACCCGGTATAAGACCTCAGCATCCGTGTAGATGAAGTGATTCCTTTCATCAAGCAGGTTGTCGTCCGAAACTGAACCTATACAGGTATAAGGTTTGTGCAGGTTGTAGAGTTGTGCAGACTGTAAACTGTAGAGATCGCACATGTTGTATATCTTTTTGTAGAGTTTAAAACTCTGACAAAACCATCCGTTTTCATCATTGGTCGACGTCAACATCCTGCCTGTTGATGTAAGGGTTTGCGAACCCTGTAGATGTCTGCGTTGCTGTTATCTGCCTGTAGATCTGAGAGTTCTCGAACCTTGTAGATGTCTGCAGCTTTCTCAAAGCTGAGCGTAGGTTAGAAGGTACCTTGGATATAGGTTCAATCGGAGGAATAGTCACCGAGTCAAAGTCGTCATTACGCATCTTATAAGTGTAGACTTCATCTATATCCTTAGAAGGAGACTCCAAGTTCAAGCCATTGGCTATCCCCAAGCTGTAACCTCTGAGTCCAGGAAGACGAAGTCTGGTTGTTCATCAGTTATCTCCTGAACGGTAGAGCTATGCCTCCGCGAATCATCCTTCTGCGAACCTGTATCCCTTCTCGAACCTCCATCAGTAAGGCTGGTCACATGACTGTTTACGCAGGAAAAGGGAGGTAACTCGTGGGTGAGTGTATTTTTACGTCCGCTTCAGGACCTTCAAGGGATTCAAGTGTTCCACTACCATTCGCAAGGGAAAGGGAGATAAGCAAACGATCAAGAGTCAGGATAAGAAAAAAATAAGATGATCTTGACAGAATTGGCATCATGCATTTGGCGTAAAGCTGGGACTGTGCTGAGCAAATCCTTTGAAATCGCCACAATACTCAAAAAGACTATATATATACTGAACAAACAAACTTAGGGCTCATGAATGCTTAGGGGGTATTTTTTTGTGATAAAGAATAAGCATAAAACATAGCCCCCAAATTCTTCATGATCCCTAGCTTATGTTTTCCGGTATAGCTCATTTTATCTAAGGAATGTCCGTGTATCTGTGCATTATTTTACTTGAATACATTACAGATTCTCACATTTCGAAGAGATATTTCATGTCATTTGACAGCTATGCATTTCTGCTTTTGTTTTGTCAAGAATTTCCAGTTACATTAAGTCGTGTTTGGGATCCAACAAAAGGATCATCTAAAGCAGTATCTTCATGAATCAACTGTCCTACCAATGTTAGGAAACCAAAGTCAATGTACAGATGAATATAATACATACAACATCTGGTAAACTAATATGTACACAAAATGACTTTCACCTCATCTTGGCATTGTCTAAAATCAAACTACACACTGAAAGGTATTTCCCTCCTGTCTACACACATTAGGAGACACGTGGCAGCAGTGAACATGGCAGTGGTTTTAACATTAAACATATTGGACACAACAGATGAGAGAGAGCTGGGAACTGTGCAAATAACTTCATCCTACACAGAATAAAGTTGTTTCCAACACTTTAAAGAACAGCTTGGAGAACCCATACAAGATAACAGCACTGGGAAGGATTAAAGATACACTTTGTTGAACATTACATCAAGTAACACCAATAAGGTGTGTTATGACCATTGTTTCAGCAGGTTGTTATTCCTTCGTGACTACCCACACATAATAATTATCATGTTATTGTAGAAACAGATCCTAGATGACTGATTTTATCAGTCTAGGCCCATGGGAAACACAGTTTACTTCTATGTCAGTGCATCATCAGAGGAGACAGCTGACTACGGACTGTTAGGTCCAAGTCCAAAGAGCCAAGATGACTTAGTTACACACTGCTTGTACTGTCACATTCTGCTGATCCTTCACTAGCATGTTCTTGGTGGGCATTTCATCTCTGAACTGGTCGGCACAAGCTGTGGTTGGTGCCTAATAATTCTCCATGACCAGACCGCCCACCATCATTTGTTGTGACAGTCACACTCCACTGAAGTGATTCACCAGTTGCACATTGTTGTTATTTGACACAGTAAACACACACATCCACCCAGACACAAATCACAGTTCATATCAGTGTCTGGGCATCTTGGCAGGAGGGGGCATCAAGTCTCTGTCCGAGGAATGGCCTGACCCCGGGGGTGTCCACCTCTCTCTCTCTATGGTGTGTATCAAGATTTCTTTTGTCACCGGCCTACGAATACTCTCACAGACACCTGTAGGGAACACAAACACTTAAGTAAGGCAGTGTACGGATTGGAATGTCATATAAGAGAATGACCATATGCACCACATGTATGTTTGTAAGGAAATACAACCCAGTGTTAACTGCAGACATGAGAATGTCAAAGCACAAAAAACGGCGCAGCCCCCCTAAAATATTGAATTTGGTAATACTGAAGTGTGTTTTGAGACCTCTCCTAGACTGGCCACAGGCCAAAAGGTTCCCATCTCCCAATTACAGATCAATCATCACAATAGAAGAACACAAGTTGAAATTACATTAAAAATGTTCAAGTAATTATTATGTTAAAAACAATATAAACATTCATGGTGCCTACTGAAATGATTCCACATTTCTGAGGTAGGAGTAAATGCCTCCCATTGTAGCAGTCTCACAGACTCACTCACCCATGGCTGTGCTGTATGCATTAGGGAAAGATTTGTCAGTTCTCTGGCGCATGAACTTCCATTCTTTTCCATCCCAGGAACACTCAATGATTTTGTTGTCCAAACTTTTCAGTTCTTTGTTCAGCTGAAAACATGGAAAAACCAATGTGAATATTTGTGAGTCTGATCGGATGAAACACATTGCTAAGTATTATTTTTGAAGACCTATCATTGTGCCGTACTTCTTGGAATACTTCTCGATAACTATTATATTTGTTCAAACTTAACTTGAAAACATGACATTCAGCATGCCAACATGAATGCCTTGCAAATATTATGCATTGTGACTTTAATAATAACTTAGAGGAGAGAGAGAGAGAAAAGAGAGAAAGAATGGTGATTTGGGGGTGGGGGTGTTTGCCATCCATTTTGTTCTGGGAAGATGGGGGTTTGTCATCAATTTTGTACACACGTTCTAGGGGGGGGTCAGCTATTTTGTACATGAAAATATTTTAAAAATTATGCTTATCAATTATGGCAAGTGAGGGGGTCATTGATTTTGTACATGACATGCCAGGAGGGGTCACTTACTTTGTACATAAATCTTAGGGGGGTTCATTCACATTGTACATGCTTCTCCATAAAAATCATCATCACTCCCCCTAGCTCCCCCTACTTGAACTATTCAACACCATGGTGAAATCTGCAAACACACAATGCTGATCTTGCAAGTCAGCAATACTTGTGACAGCCTGGCAGTAGGGCAGGGTTAAAGTACTTCAATGGATACTCACCTTCATGGCTGAGAATGGCTGGTCTAAGCTGCCCACGTACAGGTAGCCTTTAGTTTCAGGCAGCATTCTGCAGAAGGGAATTTCAGGACTGTTTACATAGCATTACAACGTTGACAATTTTTCAGCTCTTTTCATCCTACTATTGATAAATAGATGCCTGAAACTAATAATACACACAAAATTTCTACTAACCGAAGGCCAGGTACATTTTACATTTTCACTCTTGATGACTATCAGTCCATTTGAATCAGCTGTTTTATTAACCTACCCTGGTCTGTTTTCTTTGACTATTTTCAACCGGAAATCAACAGAGTTCATGCTTGGGGGCTTCCACTTGAGAACGTCATGACATCTACCAGGGTTGTATGGCTGTAATACAATATTTTCATCGCTAAAATCCTTACATTTTACCCAAACCAAATACTAAACCAAAAAGAATCTCTTATGACATATATTCAGTATACATTTACCAACCACATCTCAAACTATTGCCAAAAATCTGTTCATGGTGATAACATAAAAATAAGGTGGCTAGGAGACGGACAAGAAGGAGCAGAAAAAGTTTCAGGAAAAGCAACAAGGAGAAGAAGATGGACACAGAGAGTGAAAAAGGGTGAGCTAAAGGATATAGATAAGAGCTGGAGAAAAACAAGGAGGAAGAGAAGAGGGAGAAATATGACTGAGGAGTGGAGAAGGTAATAGCCATCAAGAAGAAGAAATGAAACATTTCATCACCATTAATAAGGCCACTTGTATAGAATGCTGCACGGGCACGCATGCAAATAACATAACGGACATTACTACCCAAGAAAACCCAAGAAGACAATTGAATGACTTTATACACATGATGTAACAACATCAGCATCAACTCACATCAGATCCAGGCTGGAACACCAAACCATCAACTTCATGGCTCACTTCCTTGGTGAATTTCCCATCAAGGAGCTGGAAATGAGGTACGACTTTATACAGCAACACAATACACAAACCTTCTTTTGGTCACTAATCCACATAATGAAAGCATCTTTCAAAACTTTTGTAATATAAGTAGTGACTTGGATGAAACAACATTGTAAGTTTCCAATGCTGATCACATAATGACTACTGGGAAACAAACAAAATTGTGTCATTCAAGTCTTAATTAGTCACCTTCTCACAATAACTGTTTGTCAAAACGACAAGCTAAATTGGTTACTAATTTCACTCATATTTGTTTAGTGTAAAATTAGAAGCAAATCTTTCACACAACAATACAAGGTCCCTTTAAAATATTCATAAAACAAGCAAAGAAAACAGGCATAAATGTATTCTTGATAAGAGTAAGTTGATAACACATTGTATCACACACAAATGCTCTCTTTCTGTGTCTCTTTCTGGTGACTAAATGTGGGAATAGAGCAAAATAATCATCCCTTAAATTTCATTTGAAATGGAAGGCTTGTGATTAACAAAGATCTGACAGATTACAACACTGAAGCAGTGATACTTAATTCATTTTCAATGGGCTGCCTCACAATAAACAGAAGTAGGTATTCATCAATATTCTTTGAGACTGACCAACAAAGATAACAATCTTGATCAGTTTAGTCCAATTCAAAACTAAGAAGTAGGGTACCTTATGAGCAAGTCACTGGACTGAAGAACACCAGATTGTGAAGGGTGATCAAACAAATACAGGATAATAATAGTCCATGTCACACTTAGCATATGCCAAGCTCTATACTTTCTGATATCTCCTCACATGTACACTTCACCAGTACCACCTGACCCCTGTTGAGATACCACCTGACTCCTGCAGAGATACCACCTGACCCCTGCTGAGATACCACCTGACCCCTGTTGAGATACCACCTGACCCCTGCTGAGATACCACCTGACCCGGCTGAGCTGATACCACCTGACCCCTGCTGAGATACCACCTGACCCTGCTGAGATACCACCTGACCCCTGCTGAGATACCACCTGACCCCTGCTGAGATACCACCTGACCCCTGCTGAGATACCACCTGACCCCTGCTGAGATACCACCTGACCCCTGAGATCCCACCTGCTGAGATACCACCTGACCCCTGCTGAGATACCACCTGACCCTGCTGACCCACCTGACCCCTGCTGAGATACCACCTGACCCCTGCTGCTGAGATACCACCTGACCCCCCACCTGACCCTGTTGACCACCTGACCCCTGCTGAGATGAGATACCACCTGACCCCTGCTGAGATACCACCTGACCCGGCTGAGATACCACCTGACCCGGCTGAGATACCACCTGACCCCTGCCCACCTGACCCGGCTGAGATACCACCTGACCCCTGCTGAGATACCACCTGACCCGGCTGGAGATACCACCTGACCCCTGCTGAGACCCGGCTGAGATACCACCTGACCCCTGCTGCTGAGACCCCTGCTGGGATACCACCTGACCCCAGCTGAGATACCACCTGAATCCTGCTGATACCACCTGACCCCTGCTGAGATACCACCTGACCCCGGCTGAGATACCACCTGACCCGGCTGAGATACCACCTGACCCCTGGCTGAGATACCACCTGACCTGCTGGAGATACCACCTAACCCCTCATCCCTGAGGATACCACCTGACCCGGCTGAGATACCTTTGACACATCACCTCCCAGCATACCACATGGTCACATCCCAATCTTGGCTGAGACGGCTTGGCTCTCACACTAAATGGCTCCTTAGTCTTGTCCAGCATGCCCTGTTGTATCTTTGCATGTCGTGGACTAATTATTTCCTTCTGTATGCATAACAATCGCCGGTCAAAATCTGTCTTTCCAACATCTTGACCCTGACAGGAAACATTGTAGTCATAAGTGAATGCAGAGCTTTTGTTAGTTACTATCATGAAATTTTGTGAAATTACAACTGCCTTGTCAGGCATCATCAATATCTTTCATGATGCTTGCTACCCAGATGTCAGAATTTCATTGTATACATAAGTAAATGCAGAGCTTTTGTTAGCTTACAATCATGAAATCCTTGATATTTGTGGAATTACAACTGCTTTGGCAGGCATCATCAATATTTTCCATGATGCTTGCTACCCAGATGTCAGAATTTAACATGCCAACATGAACCATTTATTGAGATATATCTGGTTAATATTCAAACTGCTGTTCATATTAAAAATGAATTTTCAGGATTTTCCCCTGCATAAGCAGAAGTTTGTTGAACACCCCACTCAGCAATATTCCAGCTGTATGATGACAGTCTGTAAAGTCCAGACCAGACAATTCCGTGACTGACATCATGAGTATTGATCTGTGTATTTGGGATACAATGACACACCACAACCATGTCAGTTAGCCTGACTATCAGATCATGTTATAGTTGCCTCTTAAGACAAGCATGGGTTGCTGTAAAACAAATTCTTTAACTTCTTGGAGTGGAAACTCTATTAAAGCAGCTGGTAAACTAGGTGAAGAAATCAGTTGTTACTCACCTCAAATTTAATGATATCATATACAAGATATCTTGGCACAGTCTTGTCCTCTACCTTGTCTAAAATCATCTCCTGCAACATAATCAATACCCAAATGTTCAGCACTATTTGCCGTCATGTCTACCTGTAAACACATGTCATCAAGATCATTTGAAATTTGAATAAATCTTTGTTTGCACTTTGACATATTCCTAAATACTGAAACTGGAGGAAGGAAATATGTTTTCCAGTGGAGCATGAAATGAAATATCAGTTATTAGGGACTGTTCATAATTTATGGCTTGGGGGGGTGATGATTTTTATGGAGAAGCATGTACAATGTGAATGACCCCCCCTAATATTTATGTACAAAATAAGTGACCCCCTGCATGTCGTACAAAATCAATGACCCCCCCTCCCCTTCCATTATTTCTAAGCATAATTTTAAACATATTTTTATGTACAAAATTGATGACCCCCTAGTACGATCATGCGATCTGAACATGAGTTGATGACCCCCTAGCTCCCCAGAACAAAATGGGAAACCCCCCTAAAAATCATCATCACTATCCGATTCGAATATCATTATTCACATTAGCTTGACAGCAGTATGAGGAACTGTATTGAAACGTTATATCATAATAGAACACAGAAGCTGTCATCTGATTTCTTGCCTTTACTGTTGTCAATCATGTCTGGCAATATAAAATGATAAAGGTGTTACCCATCCAGTAATGTTTCCCTCAAATGTGCGTTAAGGTCCTTCCTCTTGGGGAACTGTAGGTGAGGCACATGAAACACTGCATTGTCTCGATCCACCATAAACACTTCATCTACACCATCAATGAACATCATGTACCTGAAATACACAGCAGGGAACTTGTACCAGACACTCCACAGGCTTTAGTAATGTCACATTTTGGGACATATTGACGACAAAAGACAACATCCCCTGTGAGTGTTTCTGCATGTTACATAACTAAAGCATGTGTGCCTGTACCTTGTTAATTACTCAGACTTGATGGTAATTAAAAACTTGTCATATCTCTTGTTCGTCTATCACCTGTTGTGCTATATGTTTCATGAACAAAGGATTTCACCCTCATTACATAATAATGCATAAATGAGTAAGGATGGTTTTCAGCACTTTTAGGAATATTCCAGGAATATCATGATGGGAGGGACACCAAAAATGGGCTTCGCACATTGAACTGATGTGGGGACTCCAACCCGGGTTGCAACCAAGATCAGCAAACACTTTCACCACTGGGCGACCTCACTGCCCTCGTTATCTATTATATATTTACCCTGATACGACGACTACAGTCCCTTCGTTGCCTCAGAGCCCTCTGAAGCAACTGTAGAAAGTGCTGCAGCACAATAACTTCTGCTCTGAGACAACTTGAATGATCAGTCCCTAAACAACTGCAATAATTGATACTGTTAATCAGTACGCACAAAACATCCACAATATTCACCTTGTTCCGTCTGCCTTCCAGCTGACCTTGTATGGTTTCTTCCTAATGAAGTCAAGGTTGTTGATGTCCATTGACACAGGCTGGGAGCCAGGAAATCCGTTACTGCAACACAAACTCACACCTGATACAGCCATACAGCTTTGCTTCAACATACTGGGACCGCCTCCGTGGTGTAGTGGTTAGAGCGTCCGCCTGGAGAGCGGAAGGTCGCGGGTTCGATCCCACCGCGTCATACCAAAAGATGTTAAAATATGGTACTTGTTGGTCCCTGCCTGGTGCTCGGCATTAATGGGTACATCAAGGACTGGTCGGCTCAGAGTCAGTATAATGTGTCTGAGTGGGGTATTCATGCTTCACTGCGGCATGGTATCTCAGTGGGCTAGCACTATAAAACCAGCTTCAGTCTGGGCTAGTACAAGCAGCCGCACCTACACATACACGCATGCACATCGTCATATGAGCGAAATATTCTCAAGAACGACGTTAAACCCAATTTAACCTCACCTCACCTCAACATACTGGGCCTCACCCACTAGGAAAGATATATACATAATCTGATGAATACATCCCAGTTGTAGCAGTTTCCTACCTTGACCAGTCACACATCCGCTGGACATTCTGCTGTATCTGTGACAGCCGTGGCTGCATCGTCACATGCAACACCCCTGACACACCCTCCATAAACTTGGCATCCTGCAATGACATGTTTTACTTTGATTTACAAAACTGGGTCTCCAGGGTACCCCAAATCATAAATTTCAAAAGGTCCTTACAGGAAGTATGACATCCTGTAACAAAATGAAATGGTGCAGTTCAATAAACTGTAAGATTTGAAAATTACTCAAATTATGGATTTTTTCTGAACCACAAAAACTGGCCTGTTCAGAGGCAGTCCTGGATGTGTTACTGTAAGCAACAGAAGGAAAGCCTACTTTATTGAAGATGAGAAATCTGCTAAGGATTTAACTCACCTTTTTGTTGAATTCTCGTCTTCGTTTGCCAGAACCGTTCTGTCTGGAGGTTTCTGACTGATTGTTCATGCTATTCCCATCATCATCAACACTGTCGTCATATTCTGAGGAGAAAGGTGAAAACCTTAAGATAGTGTGTGTCTAAAGCCTCACGTCAAAACTAGCACTACCATGGCATCTCAGCCATGGCATCAAACCCTACCATGACATCTCAGCAATGGCATCAAACACTACCATGACATATCAGCCATGACATCAAACACTATCATGACATCTCAGACATGACATCAAAGTTGAAACACTACCATGACAGCAATGACATCAAGCACTACCATGACATCTCAGCCATGACATCAAACACTATCATGAGTGAGTTAAAATTTAAAGTCACTTTGGCAATATTTCAGCCATACTGTGACTAAATCAAGTTATACATTAATATAAATTAAAGGTAAATTATAAAACCTGTTGACGAAGGACAGTACAACAACTAGATTATCACAGTTAGAAATTTAAAACTAGTAACTAAATCTAAAACATTTTAACTATACAAGACAATACAATATAACACTATCATGACATCTCAGACATGTCATCAAAGTTGAAATACTACCATGACATCTCAGCAATGACATCAAACACTACCATGACATCTTAGCCATTACACCAAGCACTACCATGACATCTCAGCCATGACATCAAGCACTAACATGACATCTCAGACATGACATCAAACACTACCATGACATCTCAGCCATGACATCAAGCACTAACATGACATCTCAGCCATGACATCAAACACTACCATGACATCTCAGCCATGACATCAAGCACTAACATGACATCTCAGCCATGACCTCAAACACTATCATGACATCTCAGCCATGACACCAAACACTACCATGACATCTCAGCCATGACACCAAGCACTACCATGACATCTCAGCCATGACATCAAGCACTAACATGACATCTCAGCCATGACATCAAGCACTACCATGACATCTCAGCCATGACATCAAGCACTACCATGACATTTCAGCCATGACATCAAGCACTACCATGACATCTCAGCCATGACATCAAGCACTACCATGACATCTCAGCCATGACATCAAGCACTACCATATCTCATCCATGATATCAAGCACTACCATGGCATATCAGCCATGACATCAAGCACTACCATGACATCAAACATTACCATGACATCCTGCACTACCATGACATCAAACATCACCTGGCAGACACAACCATTTTACCATGGCATCAGACCCAACCATGACATCAAACACCACCATGACATCAAGCACTACCATGACATCATGCACTACCGTGACATCAAACACTACCATGACATCAAGCATAACCATGATACCAAACAATACCATGACATCAGACACAACCATGACAACAGACATAAGCATGGCATCAGACACTACCATGATATCAGACAAGGCACAGTCTTTCATCAAAAGGTATTCAGTAAACTGATTATGACACATGAAATCAAGCACCACAGATAATACTGTCCAACAACAGCCCTGGTGATTATCTATTTCTTTTCAATGTTGTATGAGTGAGATTTGTGTAGTACATTAGGTATATCACAGCATCTCAGCTTGATATGCGATAGAAGCCATAGATAATAAAAGTCTTACCTTGGGTCATCCTCGATCTCCTGGGTATAAGTTCCAATAAATCTCCTCTATACCCTGAATGCATCTACGGCTCGGCCAGGTGATTTTATTACCTCCCTTGGCTGGCTTTTTATCCAATCAGGTGTCTACGCTGGGATGTTGAGCGTAACAATCACAACTCAATTTCGCTTCTTTTATCTAAACGATTAAACTTGGCAACACAATTGTTGCAGGGTACTCTGAAAGAGGTAGAAGGAGTTCTTGCATATATTTTTTAAGATTTCAGACCTGTCATTTTGTCTGCATGATTTCCCCAAAAATCTGAGTCGCTCTGCGAACAAACCTTCACAGCTGCAATCGCTATCTTTGTTGACACTGGCAAGCTCAGTTGTAACAGCAGCTTAGCTGATTGGCTACTGTGAGAATGCGGAGTCAGCAAAGGGAGGTAATAAATTATCGGGCCGAGCCATAGATGAATCCAGGGTACTAGTGGAGATTTATCGTAACGTATACCCTGGAGATTATCGAGTATGGTGCTGACAAACTTTCAAAAACATGATCAGGATGAATTTGGAAATCAAAACCCATGACCACAGGTTTCTGGCACAACTAAGGGAGGCAACTCTGCACTGCAGGCTTGCAGCTACCGAGACACCAAGCCAGCACATGCTCTTTTCTCTAAATAAAGAGTAGTTTGAAATGTTCCACCAAGAGACCAATTCAGAAGACTCACCCAAACACCAGTCAGGGAGGGGTGGGGCAGAGGGTGTGTCCTCCTTGTCTCCATAACGCTCAAACAGTTCATTCAAGTAGTCTTGCTTGTAGATGCCAGGGGGGCGTGCCTACAATTTTGACATGCATTATCAAAATGATTTTAGGCAGAAGCAGAATAGGTTACAAGGTTGGAACAGGTTGTTTATTTGATCTTCGCCAACCTTCTACAGTTTAAGCTCAACAGTTCCAATTTTCTACCGTTTAAGATGAAGGGAGAAACAGTATTAATTGTAAATTTTTAGCTTTCCAGAATCAACATCACATATATCACACCAAGCCTCACCTGTGCAAAAGCTCGAACAGCTGCCTCTACACTGAAAGTGAAAACACAATGTCACCATCATTAATCACTGTCAGATATCAGATATCAATAATTACACCCTTAGTAAAATCAATGCTTATTGTATTTTCACTGAAGCTTGTGCTTCAAACAAATCTTAGCACTAAACTGACACTAACTGATAGAAATATGTCAAAATTTACCTACAACAGTGGAAGTAGTTCTAAGATTGGGTCTTAAATACTAGGGCTGCACAATATAAACGGTTTACCGGTATTTACCGGTTCAGACATGAAAACGATACATATTGCGATATGCTGATCGAAAACCGGTATTTTGATTTGCATTCGGAAACTTCGTAACACTCGGAAATGTTCAGATATGTCCTTGTTTAATTTGTGCCAAATATTATTCACATTGTTATTTTATCATGATTAAAAATTGTTATTAAAGCTTAATCAAGCCTAGTGATTTTGTTGTGTTTTTGCTCTATAAATCAAGAAGTAAATCGATTATAAGTAGTTTTTGTTTAAAAATACTTCATGCAATATATTGCAATACATATGGCAATACATGCTTTCGCATCGCAATATATCGCAATATGGAAATTCTCTGCAATACCCACCCCTATTAAATACCAAATTATACATTTCAGGACTTGCTTCCGTGAGGTACATGGCCCAAAATATCAATCCCGCCACATCACAGCACATACAGAACCTTGATCTTAAATGTGATGTGGAAACTCCCACCCACTGGGCTAACCCACTGCCCCTTTGCCTGTACAGTCACCGATACTATAAAAGCATCTCACCTCCATGACATCTTCTCCACCAGGTACGCCACCAACATGAAGCCAGTCCTGTTGAAGCCGTGAGTACAGTGGACACCTGCATGCAGTACATGACATGAGTCAACAGTTACAGACTTCAACACAACGGGTCAAGGAACCCAGCGCAACCATGGGAACTGCTGAGACTTGGTCCTCATATTTGGGGTTCATTTAGACATGCTCAGATGCCAATAATTGGCAATAAGTCTGAAGCAAATGTCAAAGATTCAGATTACATTTTCCCATTCATGTTATAAAGTTCTTTCTAATGTTAGGTTTGTTTGTTCTGTAACACTGAAGTCCCAATATTCCAGTCATATGACGGTGGTCAGTAGAGAACTGAGTCTGGACCTGATAGTCAAATGACAGACATGATAGGCATCATCAATGCTGTTTGGAAACAATATTTTGTTTTGTTCTGTTTTGTTTTGTTGTTTACAACCGCACTCAGCAATATTTTTACAAACCTGTAGAGGTTATGAATTCATTGAAGAAAGTCCTCCTTGGGGTACATATAAGCATTAAAATGTCCATTTTAAAATACCTTTGACAGTTGTAACAATATTTCAATAAAATATTTTACCAAACAAAATCTTGTTTTGTTTAGTGAGACCACCCCTACAGGGCCCCTCACAGGGCCCCCTACAGCCAAGAGCAGATAACTCTGGCTGCTTACCTCATACCTCACTTTTCATGCTGAACATGTCAGACAGAATGAGGGGAGGTGGGTGGCTGTACCCCAAGGAGGACTTTCTTCAAAGAATTCATAACCTCTACAGGTTTGTAAAATTTGTTTTCAGAAGTCATCCTTGGGGTACATATAAGCATAAGACAGACTCCCAACAATGGCGATTTGGGAGCGGTATTCTGTCTGGCTGACATACCCTCTAGTTTAATCGAAGGCACAGCCAAAGCCTAGAGAGAGAGAAAAACACACTTACTGAGTCACATGACCGCTGATGTCAATCAGGCGGGGACGTGGCAAGGCGGGGTAGAAGGAGCCTAGCTTATATGCTATTGGCGAAATTATGATGACAGACGTCAACCATCAAAATGGGAAGGAATGTATGGGCAAGTCCTAAATATTTCACTCATAATCCCAAACCAGCGACGCGTGGTGCAGGGAGGAAACACAGTGGATATAGCGTATAACAACGCTAGAGCCAATAAAATCGGTAAAAAACACCACCAATCTGATACCACCACCGATATAAATTGTGGAATTTTTATAACCGACACCAGGAAGTAAAAATAGTCGTGACTTCGAAAGCTCATTCGGCTAGACAGTCACGACACTGCCCACTGGTGAGAACTATCTGGCCAAACCGAGCACGTTCCTGTGAGTGTTTGTCCAGTTGATAATGGCGGATGGACGTACTCGGTAGGCTCCAAAGAGCCGCTGAGCAGATCTCTTCAATGGGCAGTGCCACAGCATATGCCTATGATGTAGCCTCTGCCCTAACCGAACGAGCCTTTAACCCATCAGGAATAGTTAACCCCTTGTGAGTGTAAGTCATACAAATGTCAGAGACAAGCCACCTAGATATGGTCTGCTTGTTCGCCGGAAGACCAGCCTTACCACCGCCATAACAGCAGAACAGCTGCTTCCTTTCGTTTGATATAAGCCTTGACAGTCTTACGGACATCTTAGACATGAGCGCGTCAAAGAGAGGTACCGGACGATGGAGGCTGAGTGAAAGCTGGCAGTTCAATAGGCGCCGTTATATGAAGGGCACCTGCGATCTTAGGACGGTAAGAGTCTGTCAACTGAATACTGACTCTGTCTTTGTGAAAGACAGTCAGAGCAGGATCCGCTGACATCGCATGGATATCGCCTACTAGCCAGCCTGACGTTACCGCCACAAGAAAGGCAGCCTTCCAACTTAACAGTTGGAGTGAAAGAGACGACAGATCGTAAAAGAGAGGACCAGACATCCAATCAAGAACGATTGACAAGTCCCAGGGGGGACTAATCCGCCGGACAGTCGGACGGATTCCACGCCTGCTAAAAAAGTGCTGCACAAGAGGGTGCTGCCCCAAGAGAGCACCGTCGGCAGGTACATAGAAGGCAGAGATTGCCGCGGAGTAGCACCGGATAGTAGACGTGGCTAAGCCGGCCTCTAACCAAGACTGTAAAAACTCCTGCACTTCAACTACAGTTGAAGAAAAGGGATTGCGAATCCCTCTGTCAACACACCAGCGCGTATAACAGGCCCAATTATCCTCATATTGAATGTTTGTCGAATCCCTCCGCGAAGCCAGAATTGTGTCTGCAACTGGTGCAGGAATTCCGCTTGCTTGGAGGAGATTCCGGACAGTGGCCAGGCCACCCACTGAATCCTGGGATTCGGGTGCGGCGCTCCGTTCTTGGATAGTAGGTCTGGTCGAAAGGGTAATAGTACAGGAGGCTGAGCCAGAAACACCGGAAACCAGCTTTGAGCCGACCAAAGAGGTGCAAGGAGCACAAGCAGTTGAGCTGGTTGGGTGGCAAGCCGCGAGAGGACCTTGGGAATAATGGCGGGAATGCCCACAGAATCCAGTCCATCCAATCGAGCTGGAAAGCTCTGAGGCAATGGCTCTCAGATCCGAGAGCAAAACACCGGAATCTGGTTCGTCCCTCCAGAAGCAAACAGATCCACCTGGAACGACCCAAACAACTGGGAGATAATCCCTTATATCTCCCGATTTAGCATCCACTCGTGCGGGGCCAGGATACGTCGAGAGAGCACGTCTGCTCGAACGTTGTCCGCCCCAGGGGGAAATAAACAGGCATCACCTGTATGTCACACCAGAGCAGAAACTGCCACACCTCCTGTAGAAACCGTACCGCCCTGCTTCAGGATATAGGTCATCGCCGTTTGGTTGTCCATCTCCAGACAAACCACACGGCTTTGAACCTGCTCCTGGAAGCGTTCGAACATTAGCCGGACTGCTCTGAAATTCTCGCACATTGAAGTGCAGTTGCGCCTCACTCTGTGACCACAGGCCTGAGACTGACAGGTCGCCCAGCACGCCCAGTCCGAGCTGAGGCCCTCTCTGGACTTTGGTGACGCTGTCCGGAGGCAGGGAGACTACACCTCGCGCTGCTCTCGAATCTTGCTCCCAAGTAAACCAGATCCTGGGTGGGAACCAGTTCTGACTTCTTGAGATTGATAATCCAGCCCAACTTGGTGAGTATACTCATCACAGAAAGTGTCACATCTTGACTCGAGTCAGTGGCAAGCGCACGAAGGAGCCAATCGTCTAGGTACGGGTGACAGCCCCTGCCCTGTGACCTGGCTACCTGCGCTGGAATTAGCATGAGTTTGGTGAACACCCTTGGCGCCGTTGAGATGCCGAAGGGGAGCACACAAAACTGATAGCACCTCCCGAGCCAATCTCCCTTTTCCACAGATGACATCACTGAACGCAGTGTCTCCATCTTGAAGGACGGTACCTCTATCATGTCGTTCAGACCTTTGAGATTTAAAATAGGTCTCACCCCTCCGTCCTTTCTGGTGACAAGGAAATAGGTCGAGTTATAACCCACCTCTTCCTGTCCCACTGGAACCACCTCGATGGCTGCCTTGTCCAGTAATGACTGGACCTCGGCACAGAGTGCCTCTGCCTTCTCCGGAGCGGCCGGAGAAGGGAGGTGGGTCTCGCTTCCACTGTGGCATGTGGCCTTCGCTGAGTGTGGACAGGACCCAGGGATTGGAGGTGACCTTTTCCCATTTCGACAGGAAGAGAGTAAGTCGACCACCCACAGGGATATTTGGCATGAGGCAATGGATACCCGAAGTCGGCAGTACTCCAACTACTTGATCTGGTACTGACAAGACCCCGGAGGAATTATTGCTGAGCCGGGGCTGACTTCCCCTTCCTCTGAAAAGGCTGGTGGGGCGCCACAGCCCTATGCCCTTGCCTCTGTCCTTGCCCTTCCGCGACTGTAATGGCAGAGCCCATTTAACAGGTTCCTTCGCCGCGGCAGAAGGATAAGCAGAGGCAAGTGTTGGGCTTAGAGTCCTTGAAGGTTGACACAGCCTCTGCGGCTATTAAAATACTAGCATAAAGCAACAATAGCGACGCCTAATTGTGCACATAACTAACAAAGAGCAACATTTGAGAGCGATACGAAACGAACACGCTACAGAATCACTCTACCATAACTTACCAAAAAAAACGCTGAAAAAGAGGAATTTAGGCAAGCATAACCTACGTAATGAAATATGAAAACCTTACAACCTGACTTTAACGGCTTACAAAGCCAGCAGAAGGGATAAAGAAGGGACCACGCGGTCCGCCATCTTGACTGCCACATGGCTGGAAACAGCGAACACGCCAACAAAGTGACAACAAATCATGAATGAAAAGTCATACGAAGATTCCAGCTAACGCCCGTGCGAAAAAGAAGGAACCATACATACAGAATTCGATTCTTTCTCACTCATTTCTCTTTTCGTAGATAGGCGAAGACATATCTTCTACTGGACCATGCACAACCGTTCTTGACAACGACAGCATGAAAAGCGAGGTACGAGGTAAGCAACCAGAGTTATCTGCTCTTGGCTGCAGGGGGCCCTGTGAGGGGCCCTGTAGGGGTGGTCTCAGTTTTTTGTTTGGTAAAATATTTTACTGAAATATTGATACAACTGTCGTAGGTATTTTAAAATGGACATTTTCATGCTTATATGTAACCCCAAGGAGGACTTCTTCTGAAAAAGAATCCAGCTGTATGGCGGCGGTCTGTAACTAATCTTATGGACCAGACAATCCAGTTCACAAAAGCATGAGTAACCAAGTCAGTGAGCCTGATCCCGTTAGTCGCCTCTGCTGAAGACCAATTCTAACCCAGGGTATCACATTTCTTTTGGAAACAATGACATGCATCAACCAGGTCTGAGAGTCCAACCACCCAATTGCGTCACCTCTTACCCAAAAGATGGGTTGCGTAAGACCAATTCTAACGGGATCTTCACAGCTTCTAATGTTTCAACTTTGTAGTGATAACTTAACACTGATAAGACCAATAAAGATGAAGAGAATTCAAAATTTAGGCATATTTTATTGCACAGATTGAAATGTTATTATATCTAAGAACTTCAGAAAAAAAACCCAATGATTCTTTTCCCAAATCCACAGCAAGTGCGCTGTTTAGAAAACTAAACATCCCTGCATACTGAAATGGAGGGGATGTGATTTCCTTTTGGTTTAATGATCTGCCTCCCCTGGCTATCTGTAATACTGCATTAATCACAAAGAGTAAGAAACCTGCAAAGGACAGACAGGAGAACCATACAAACAGACATATCGGTTCCTTTGTTTAATGTGCTACTTATATCAACTGACACATGCTTATAATCTGACATATTTACAATAGTAAAACATTCTCACCAATAATTTCCAGAGGTTTCTGTGATAAAAATCTGTGACACACTTCCAAGAAAGCTTGTGTTTGCTCCACAGTGGGAGTCTCTGATCGACTGAAACACACAACATATAACCACATTTTCAACATCAATTACCATATTTCACAGAATAAACAACCCATACACTAACAAAATTGTCAAAGGCAGTGCTTTCTAAATTCTTACAAAAGAAATCGGTTTTCAGTGAGTGAGTGAGTGAGTGAGTTTAGTTTTATGCCGCACTCAGCAATATTGTTTCAACCAAGTCAGCGAGCCTGACCACCCAATCCTGTTAGGCGCCTCTTACGACAAGCATGGGTTACTAAAGACCAATTCTAACCCGGATCTTCATGGATCAATTGGTTTTCAGAAAACAAGCAGGTGAACAAACTTAGTTCAAACATTGATGAAACAAAGGTTTTATCTTATATACCCCTTCTTATTGTTCCCTGAATATACAGTGAAGCCCCGTTAGTCCGGACTCCGATAATCCGGATGTCTCGCCTCCCGGGCGATTTCAGCTTGTTACCAATCTATGCCTATATAATTTGCCTCGATAATCCGGAAATTTCCGGAACCGGACGGTAAGTAGCTGTCACCAATCAGCAAAATAAACAGTAAATTGCTTCAAAGTCCGGACGCTGTAAGTCGTGTTCACGAACCGTAACAACACCGCCCGGCGATGTTTACTTAAATAACTGGCCAACTGGGTTGTTGTTTTAGTTAGACATAAAAAGCTCCCGACTGAAGATACTGTACATTTACACTTTGATTGACACCACAAAACAAAGGCGTGGATGACAAGTGAGCTGTTTTGTGATTGGTTAATGTACTTTGACAGACAGATCCAGTCACGTGGACTAAAAGTGATTTTGCTTTTACGACAATGCTGCAAGTCACAAGTGTGCTACGCTAACTTTGCGAAATGTGACCAAATACCACGTCTCATATTCAACCGATGGATGCAGGAATAATTCGGACATTCAAGGCATACTACAATAGATCGCTTGTTAGACATTACCTCACCTGTGCTGAGGAAGGACGTGATCAGACACGTCGGATCAACATGCGGATGTCACTCGGTAAAATTATTGATGTGATGAATTAAGCTTTACATTAAATGCTTATTTGTTTTATCCAGATTCGTGTCGTTTTTGTAATTCTTAGGGAAGCAACTTGTGTCTTGATTCAGTAGTCCGGACTATTTGGAATCCGGACGAATTTACTGAGAAACGCAACCGTCCGGATTAACGAGGCTTCACTGTACATAAGAAAACATGGAGTGTCATGTTAATTTGCATTCTTAATATAGGAGGCACTTATATAGATCATTAACATTATGTCTAGGATTTGGGTAGGGGATGCTTACTGAATGAGAACAAATATGTTAAATGCTTTGTATACTGGGGTAGTGGTACTCAAATGTAGTATGTAGATTGTACTTTTTACTTGGCAAACAAGCTTGTATCTATTTGTTTGAATGTCCAGCCCTACTCACCCTTTACATTGTAGCTTGAGGTATTTACAGTCCTGTGCATCAACCTCCTTATTGTCATAGAACCTAGTTGTGTTGGTCAGGTCGATCAGTAGCCCCATCTTTGTCTGAAACAAGTGAAGATGAGTAATTGATATGGCTTTGAAAAAGGCGTTATACTTAAAGAAACACATGGACTAAAAACGTTTGTCATCCCATTCTTCAAACATCTTCGATACGATATACTGACTAAACATTTCACAATACAAAGATGTGTTACACAGAGTCTACATTTGAGAAATATTACAATTGTTGCTCAATGGATACCGACGGTGAGTATGCTTTTAGCAATAGTCCAGTAATATCATGACAGGGGACACCAGAAATGGGCTTCACACACAGACCAAAGTTAATTGTCACAGATTTGACACAGACATTGATATACTTGTACATGAACTGTGACAAACAGTTTTCTCCACAAATTTAAGGCCAAGTTACACAAACAACTAGTGAGCAAGTGAGTTGTGCTTTACACCCCCTTTAGCTATATTCCAGCAATATCATTTATCATGGTGGGGGAACACCAGAAATAGGCTTCACACATTGTACCCATGTGGGGAATCGAGCATGGGTCCTCAACATGACAAGCACAAAAAACTAGTCTTAAATGATCTACAGAAAGTTGAACGAAAAATGAAAAAAAAGGTTTGTTTCAAGAAGCCAAACAGGTATGTATTCATGATGAAAACTACATACCTTGAATGTTTTGAGAGAAAGGAAAAGCATCTGTATGTTGAATACATTTTCATCAGGGATTTGATCATCATACTTTGAGTCCAGTGGTGTCTTGAGTGGGAGAAACTTGCCTGTTGAATGAACAACTAACATACTGAGCAAACATTAACATTTGTAATCATTGTTGTCAAATATCATTAACATGAATCCACAGTAGTGGCGGTGAGGTTGAAGAAAGTCATAGTCACACATGAATCATTTAATGTTAGAACACGGATATTTCAAGGTATGACACCTCCAACATTCAGCTTCTGAAAACTTTAGGAAACTAGCCATGCTCATAAGCACGATAAGAAATCCATCTATAAAATGTTACAACAAATTAATTTTAGTAGTTACAGCAAAATAAACATGAGAAATAAAAAGGATGTCCAGAGATGGACATGTGCCTTTAAACATGTTAAAGCACTGAAACTCCTCATTGTCATAATCACTGACAAAGAGACTTAGCTTTCTTGGCCTTGTACTTTCTGAGACAACAAGACAATGAGTTCATTACCTTTCACTTTAAGAAACTGTAGTAACAAATAGAACAGGAAACATTTGAAGATTTTCATTGGCATCCTGTTTAGTGGGTGTTTAATGTTTTAATTATATGTTTCATTACTTTCAAAGGCCCCAAAAATAACAAATGATAGTATAAGTTGTATGCTTCTCTCGAGGGTAACACAGTCTGATGTACGCCTCTTTGTAGCAGTATCACTCGAGCCGGTAGGCGAGGGATGACACTGCTACAAAAAGGCGTACATCAGACTGTGTTACCTGAGGGAGAAGCATCCAACATATTTATCTTACCGCCATGTTAAATGTACAAAACATGATTTTATTTCATGTTAAAGATCGCGACCGACTATATGACATGTAAACAAAATGGCCTCTGCCTCTCGACTGGATTTTTAAAATCAGTGAAACATATACTGACAAGCTTAAAACTGCTGTAAAAATGGTTAATTATGTTTAAGTTGAGTGTGCAAACCACTCAATGTATAAAATAGCTTAAATAAAGCAGTGAAAGTCGGAAAAATAAATCTGTATAAAGTGAACACAAAAACAGCTGATCGAACGGTTTTCGAACTCCGGGCACGCAATGCGTCATATTATGACGTCAAATGATTATTAGCGCTTCAGCTTCTCATCGGAGAGCTTGGCGGTTACTGTGGCAGCAGGTAATATTTTTTCCAGTTGTCACCCTCCTGAGCGGGGTGACAAGGAAACTTGTTAAAGGGTCATTGACCAATGAAAGTAAAGTATTTTACATGAAGGTAAGATAAGATCTGATGTATGTGTGAACAGACCTTGATTATTACTGGTATTTGTACAAAGTCTCTGCTTCCTCTGCATGTACATTTCAGAGGAGGAGGATATTTACTGGTCACTACTATGCACATCAAATGACAATTTAGCTATGACATAGGCTGACCTGATCTTCCTTATTATTTACCTGCAATAGGCTGACCCTTCCTTGGACAGTGTAGCCATCTAGGAGGTAACTCCCATCGTCTCTGACTCATGATGGAGATTCCAAAAGTTAACACTGAAAAGTCAGTGCTCCAGGTTAGATTTCACAGACTTACATGCAATCACAAAACCTTTTTCGCATTTTCCATAATAATTTTTAATGTGGTAGGAGGGCTTTGACTAAAATGCGAGCAGCATAACTTCTGCATCTGGCTAGCTATTCTCGAAACGTTCGTAGCCCTACGAACATCTTAAACCCATTCTTAACACATTGGCTACGATCAAAGTTAAGAAGTCTTAGGTCTACGAACGTTTCGAGAATAAGGGCCCTGATCATTATTGCTATAGTTATCTGAAAATAGAGCAGATATGTGAGGCTACAATATCAGCATCAATTTGTGATGATGGTTAGGTGTCTGGCAAAATGCATGTGTAGTAACATGAATCATCTGTAAACCCCTGGGATGTCCTCGAAAAATATTTCAAACATATGTGTTGCGCTCATAAGAAGTGTATTTGCTTGATTTTACTTTCTTTCTGTTTACTGCATTTTACATTCACTAACTTTTGACTGGGGTTGATTTCACAGTAATTAGGTAGAAGGTTTATAAAAGAAGTTGATAAAAAATTTGTGGCATCAATTCAAGAGAAACGTTTGACAGAAACTGTTTAATGCTTAAAACATGAAGAAAAACAAGTAGAATGAAACAGATCATGCTGTTGTAAACTACTCTCCATTTTCACAATATTACAGCCTGTAAGACAGGCCGCACGGGGGACTTTTGCTTACGCTCTTAAAGACGATGCTTACATCTATGTTACAGTTTACTCCGTAAGGTCATCATTATTGTGATATGGGTCTAAGTAATCAGTTTTTCACAAGCCGATATGCGTGATTCGTCCACATCGGCGCCATGACAGACTCGTTTTGGTTTGTAATTTCTTACTTCCTGTTTACTACAATTAGAGTGACGTCCCCTTGACCCGAAGACACAAGTACAAATATTTCTTATATATTTTCATACGAAGGGAGACAACTTGTTATATAGTATGAATAATCACGCACGTGTTGTTGAAATGTTGTTGAAAATGGCAAGACATAAACAGGGTAGAAACAAGAAGAAACATACACCAAAGAATAGAAAAGGACTACATCAGAAGGAAAAGGGGAGGCTAAGGTGTCCAGTTCTCACGATGAAGAAGTTGACAGTGATCCAGAATCCGATGATTTAGAAGTTGTCAGTACCAACAAGAATGTCAAACATGAGGTGGGCCAGATAAGAGATATATACCGAATAACGGCGAATTGTGGCGAATGTATATTTGCATATTACTATAATGTGTATTGGTGTCGATTTTACTCTTGTTTTATGTGTATGCACTTTGCCTGTCACATTTACGCAATTATACACTCATTTGCAAAATTGCAGTACATGGATGTACTGTAGCAGCTTGTACTGATTAGCTTGTAGCAATTTCTCAGTTTGGAGCCGCTATAGGATATGTTCGTCACCCAGATTTCATGCTAAAGAATATAACGTTGGAAACCAAGAAAAGGTATGAAGTTGAGAGGTGACGGGTAAAGATCTCTCCGGAAAGCTGTTGTGATAAGTGGAACATGATTGAAAATATGTTGATATCCTAAAGCAAGCTGAATTTGACATTTTGGTGATTTCGACGATTGCATTGCTCGTCGCTATATTGGGTTAGTATGTGCGCGATTGGAGTCCACAAACAGTTTCATCATTAGGGTGGATGCCCAGTCGCTGTCGTGAGAAGTTTTATTGACAATGGAAATCTGGAAGTTAAGTTATATATGCAAACAAGCCCCAATATTATTTTCCTGAGATCGTTAATACCACTTCTAATGCAAAATCATAACAAAAAATAGCAAGCGAAAATTCAGTAAGATCCGTCTTCTGCTGGTGACAGGCAATATATAAATAGGAAGCCATGTGATCACAACACTCCCTCACAGTGTGGAGCGAAAAGTATGGCTCATTGTCGAAAACCCATACAAAATCCCCGGATGTGGAGAGTGACAACAGTTTCGCCGATATGATGTCATCAATGCTATTTTTATAGGAAACACTTGATATTTGTGTGTGAAATAAATGAATATATCCTTTATCACTCAAGGTTAGTGAAATATAAACTTTGAATGATATTAATGATAATAATTCCGTTTTTGCCTTACATTGTCGAAAACCCCTGACACCAGGATATATTAGCAGATTATTAAAAACAATCAAATAGATTTGTGGATTTTAAGATTGAATTAGATTTAGGAGTGTATATATAACTTCTTTATATTTTAATTTGGGTAGATTTACTTCTACTGGTACCACTTAACATATTTTCTGCGCATGATCGGAAGGAAGCTTAAAGGTCACATGCAACGTAAAACACAACTTTGCAGATTCTGATACCTTTCGGTATGGACTTACCGAAACAAATCATCAAAAATGCAAATTCAACTTATAAAGTTGAAAAATAACGAGATGAAAAAAACTACGCGAAATCGGAATTAAAACGATTCACTAATTTTTCCCCAGCACTTGAGGGAAAAGTGGTTTCAACAGCTGGGCTGCGCTCATAGCACATGAGCAGTGAAATAGGTTTGCACAGCTTGTAAGAGGGTTGTCCGGTGAATACTCGGTGAAGGCTTTGGTGTGAGCTATTTTTCTAATGTTTTGTTGATATTTCACAGGTGTGAGCTTTTTATATGTTATGACAGTAGATTACCGATTTAACTGTTTATATTATTTCATTTGTCTATTTCACCACATGATCTTCTTACCGAGTCACTTTCTCAGTTCGATACTTAAAAGTAATGTCATTATTTAGCGTTGACAGAATTTCTAACTGTGATATAGATATGTTGTTGTCACAGACAAAACTCAATGTCTGTTTTATTGACACCTATGTGTCTGCCTGCCTGTCTACTAATGACAATATTCAATACACAACCTCGATCACTGACCACATGCAATTTGAACTTAACACCTATCAGGCTATACACCATAAACAAAACGCATTGATTTATGGCCCGAGTTCGGTCTCTGTCACATTATGTAATTACACACGACAGGCAGGTGTGATACTGGTACACATGACATGCTATGATGTCTGTTGATTGCAAAATGTTATACACAAAAAATGAGCATGTATTTACAAAACCCAACATCTCTATATATACACACACAATGAGCCGTGAGGGCATCTGCAAATGAACCAGTTGTTATTTTTGAGTGCACCCCACATGCTCTGACTGGGTTAGGGTATCCCGGCTGCTTCGTTTCTAGGGAAGTAAACCCAAGTACAAAATATTGCACTTTTGGTTTGTGATTGTACGCTTATAATTTTGTTTATATGTTTTTTCATAATCAGTAATGTATATTATATGTCATGAATAAGTGATAATTGTGTTTTAATTATGTTTGATTTTTTTGTTGCATGTGACCTTCAAGGTTAATGTTGGCAGGGTTAGGGTTAATGTTGACAGGTTAGGGTTAGCAGGGTTAGGGTTAATGTTGACAGGTTAGGGTTAGCAGGGTTAGGGTTAATGTTGACAGGTTAGGGTTAGCAGGGTTAGGGTTAAGGTTGACAGGGTTAGGGTTAATGTTGACAGGGTTAGGGTTAATGTTGACAGGTTAGGGTTAGCAGGGTTAGGGTTAATGTTGACGGGTTAGCAGGGTTAGGGTTAATGTTGACAGGGTTAGGGTTAATGTTGACAGGGTTAGGGTTAATGTTGATAGGGTTAGGGTTAGACTCCTATATACAACAACCAAAAGTAGCTAAAACAATGGTATCAGTATAAGTAAAGTGCTCCTTTAATTTTACTTTTTGAAAACAGAAATAAATCAAATTAAACATGTCATGCCAAACTCACAGATTCACATTCAAACTCGAAAAGATGTAAAAGGTGAATTAGAAATTTACTCAAAGACGCAAGTAAACTCATTGTGAAAATATCCCATACTTTGAAGTTTGAAGTAGGACATTAATGGTATGGGCAAATTGTATTGATGAAATGGAAATGATAGATGACAATGTTAGTGTTATGAATATGAGGTGCATGTTTAGTTTGACATTTGGTAGCTATTTTCACAAAAATGGCATATGAAGTCAGGGATGTTTTTGAAGTGTGATTTAACCGGACACAATGAATGTTATGCTTGCAGAGAAGTGTTGACTGACATATATGGTTTACTATTTTAGAATAATGATGAAGAGTCCGATATGGACTCAGATGAGGAGATGGCACAGACACGGAAACTTGTCACACAACAAAACAGAAAGAAGAAAAAGTCTGGTGGCTTCCAAGCTATGGGTAATTACTGATAATTCTTTTGCCTTAGTCAGAGAATAATGAAATAATAGAGAACTGGTTATTTTCTCCCAAATCTGTATATTTTACATAATTTGTATTATCCAGTATGAGGTGTTTACCATCTAGTACCTACCATTGTTGACCTGTCAGTCAGAGAATTATACAATAAGATATCAAGAGAAAAAATTCAAATTAATTTGTTATTGCCTCATTGGGTCATTGCCAAGATTATTGTTGATATCAGAGAGCATTATTGTGATTATCAGAGCTGTAGATTACCATGTATATCTCTAGAGTAGGGGCAGATGTGATGCGCAGTATGAGACATAAGTTAAACATGCCACTGTCTTGTCAGCATAAGGGAAATACTAGAGACTTGCCCAAACTGGTAGTTACGAGAATGAAAGTATCGCGCATACAGCTCATTTTCATAGGATATAAGTCAGAGGGCGCCTATTGTAAAGGCCTATTTGGTCATGGACAGCTCACATTTTCATACTCTGGTGAAGTTACTGTTTAATTTACATAACAAAATATCAGTGTTTTCCAGTGGGCCAAAAAGGCTCATAAATATAAATGATAAGGACTGATTGGTTGGTTGGTTGTTGTTTAACGCCACTCGCAGCAATATTCGTGCTATATGGCGGCAGTCTATAAATAATTGAGTCTGGACCAGACAATCCAGTGACAACAGCACAAGCATTGATCTATGCAATTGGGAACTGATGACATGTCAACCAAGTCAGCAAATCTGACCACTCGATCCTGTTAGTCGTCTCTTACAATAAGCATGGGTTAATGAAGATCAATTGTAACCCGGATCTTCACAGGTCAATAAGAACTGAAATACTTCGTGACAAAATGTGACAATTTAGTAAGTACTGCAGCTTTATGGAAATGCTAATAGCTATCTCTGGTTTGTTTCAGGGTTGTCATACCCTGTCTACAAGGGCGTCACAAGGAAGGGCTACAAGATACCAACACCCATACAGAGGAAGGTCAGTGGTGGTACCGGAGTTACTGGAATAGTGCCGAGAGGTCACTAAGAACCCTAATTATAACGTAAACATTCCCTCTGGATTATGGTAGCCTTATTCCTGTGGATACATAGAATACATACAGAAAATCAAAAGAATTTTAACACTAAGTCATAGTTATTCCTAGTGGTATACCTAATCTACCGCTGAGTTATCTCCCTTGATCCTGACATCATTGTATTGTTCTCCTAGAACCCTTCATAATTTTTCTGTATGGTCCACACCTATGACGTTCAATAACGTTCAATCGTATTACTATTTGATATTGTATTTACGTATATTTTCTTGTTTTTGAACTTTGAAAATTTCCCGCCCGTTTTGACTAGAACGAATTTGGCGCATAACATATGTCTCCTATGCCAGAAGTTTATGGCGGACGTCGATCCCCACTCTCTATGTGTCTCATTCTTCAAGGATTTGCGTGCTTTTATCAGATAGAGGTCTATTATGTCAAATGAGAGTTGGCTTATTATGGAGAAATTTCGTTCTATAGCTAGGAAGCGTAAGTATCTTCATCATCTGAATTCTCGGGAACTAAGAAAGCCAACACGGGATCGCCTTCATTGTCTATTAAATCTGAGCCTTAATCCAGATCTAGGTCAAAATCTAATCATCCACCCACATGGATATGTCTGCCATTTCGGACTTACTAGCTGGTTTCAAGTCCCATGTTCAGGCCGCTATGGATAAGTCCATACGGGACATGGAGTTCAGAAATGAGGTGAATTTAGCTGGCTATTGAAGCAATTGAGGAGACATATTTACCCCGCAAGACGGCAGATAGCCGCAATGACTTGGTGGTCGATGGCACAAGCCGGGGGCCAAAGTCATTTCCTGACGGAAACCAGGGGTGCTATGACCGGAAAGCCGGTTACCATGCCCTGGCGTACGCAGGAGGCCGGTCCCCCCAAGGGCTTCAGGCGACGAGAACGGAGTCGGTCTAGCCGGCTCCAGGTCCGGGGTGACCGTGGCTCAGGCTACACACTCCACCATCTTGGTTCCCCGGAACCAGCCATCCATGGCGGTTCCCTCTCGCTCACAGCCTGCTATCCTTCCCAACGGTGGGATGGCCGCAGGACTGTCACGGGCTGGATACCGTGCCGAGTGCACGGGATTCCTGTTCCGGCTTGAGCCATGCCACCGGGTCGGCGGCTATTAACAATGGGCTTGTCAACCCAGCCTGCTTTCTTTTTCCATGGTTGGACTAGGCAGCAGGACTTTCACTGGCTTGATACCGTGCCGGGTGCACGGGATTCCCGTCCCGGATTGAGCCATGATACTGGATAGGTGGCTATTGATAACCGCTTGTCAGCCCAGCAACCCGACAGCCACGGGCCTAGCGGTTTGATCAGAGAATACGGCCACAGAACTGCAGGCGTATACTGACACGGATAATCAGTCCTTGAACCCGTTGGTGTCTGACTTGGCCGATCTGGTCGCTTCATCGGTATATCCCTTCTCACAACCGGAGTTCACTATGTGAGAGGGTTTGTTGACAGCACTAACTATGGATGTTTTCAGAAGAGGATTTCTCGCCGGGTTGAATTTTTATGGAAAAGTTGGAACTATTATATGGTCTTTACTAAATATCCTTCCACCTCCGTTTGAGGATCAGGGAATTGACATACCCGTGGAGTTGGGTTGCTGATTACTGCCAGAAGGGATGCCCAAGCTGTCTTTGCTGCATTCTTCATTACTTAAGAAACCATTGGAATATTATAACTTAGGCCTCTCCAAGGCCACGGCGCGGGATAACCTGCCCAGGTATACACCATTCACGATAGACTTATCCCAGCCAGTCTACCTAAGTTGGATAAGGATTTGTCCTCTTACAAGAAGTTAACGGCTTCCGGGAGCAAACACTTCCGTGTACAATAGCGATTTCAAGGAGTTAGATATGGCTGCTTGGACATCCATTGGTATGTTATCCTATTTTAGCTGGTTTGCTGCAGGGCTACAGGTTTTGCTCCTCCAGTTTTCCAAGTTTACTCCTGGTTATAAAGGACACAGCTCAAGAGTTGGCGCATTTTTTTCCTGGATGTTAAGATATCAAGAGAGGTTGACTGGTCATGTTTTTGTTGACATTTAACTTTAACTTTCATTACTTTATAAGTTTGATTTGATAATTTTCGGAGGGGGATTATGTCACCTAAGTGACAATGCTTGTTAGTAATTGTTAGTAAACTTACCTCTGGATTATGGGGAGTAGCTCCCACCCTGTGTCCTCCCCACGAAATTATCCTTAGAAGATGTCATAGATGTGTTGTTTTTTAGAAAAATTGTGAAGGGTTCTAGGAGAACAATACAGTGACTTCAGGATCAAGGGAGATAACTCAGGGGTAGATTAGGTATACCACTAGGAATAGCTATGACTTAGTGTTAAAATTTCTTTTGATTTTCTTTATGTATTCTGTGTATTCACAGGAATAAGGCTACCATAATCCAGAGGTAAGTTTACTAACAATTACTAACAATATATGTAATTGTTCCTTTGTCACACTTTTTGATGTCAAGTATTTTTTTGAGCAGCAAGAACCATTTGATCTTTGTTAATGCATTGGAAAATGGGGACATTTGATTTATGTAAAACTTGCATGTTGTTATAGACCTTGCTGAAGTGCTGGCACTCCATGGTTAATCTATATATAAATCCAGAGGACTCGCAGACATAGTTTTGGGTGTCCAAGGAATGAATATAATAGTTTCAGACTGGTCAAGTGATTTCCAAGAATTTTACTGAGAGTGTTAGAGTTGATGTACAGAAGAAAATCAACCATTGACACATTGAGTGTATTTTTTACCAGAATAGGAACATCAGTTGCATGTAACACGGCACTTCCAATTTTGGTTTGTTTGTAATTATTCAAACAGTATTGTAATTTATTTGCTTTCATTCAAATTTCATGGTATGTGCGTGATGTAATGATTGTCTGTAATGATTGTCTGTAATACTGTGAGACAAAATAATTCACATTGAGCTGAGTTTGTTGTTTAATGCCGCACTCAGCAGGCTGCGGTCTGTAAATAATCGAATCTGGACCAGACAATCCAGTGATCAACAGCATGAGCATCAATCTACGCAATTGGGATACGATGACGTGTCAACTAAGTCAGTGAGCCTGACGACTAGGGGGTCCTTTCACGAAGCAACCTTTACTAAGGTTAACCTTAACTCCCATTCTTTAACATTGCACTCAGGTTACCTTAGTGACTTGCGATCACCTTAGCGCTTTGTGAAAGGAGCCCCTGATCCTGTTAATTCCCATCTTATGACAAGCATGGGTTGCTGTAGACCACTTCTAACCCGAATGTTACTGAGTAGGTACTGATATGTGTATCACTATAATATTACTGTACTCTCCAGACAATCCCACTCATCATGGACAGTAAGGATGTGGTTGCCATGGCCAGGACAGGAAGTGGTAAGACTGCAGCGTTTCTCATTCCAATGTTTGAGAAGCTGAAAGCCCATTCTGCTAAAGGAGCCAGGGCCATGATAATGTCACCCACCAGGGAGCTGGCACTGCAGACACTCAAGTTCACAAAGGAGGTGAGGCTGTGTGTAGTGTTTCAACCAGACTGTGTTTTCTGTCACCCACACACAGTCATTGATATTGAAATAATTGTCAGAAATACAGAATACATTGACAGCAATATCGGATTGATCTATCATTTCTTTTACATACAGGGGCTGTGGGGTAGTCATGTGGTTAAAGCGTTGCGTTGAAGACAAGGGTTCTATTCCAAACATGGGTACAATGCGTAAAGCCCATTTCTGGTGTCCCACACCATGAAATTGCTGGAATATTGCCAAAAGCGGCATGAAACCTCACTCACTCACTCACTCACTCACTCACTCACTCACTCACTCACTCACTCACTCACTCACTCACTCACTCACTCACTCACTCACTCACTCACTCACTCACTCACTCACTCACTCACTCACTCACTCACTCACTCACTCACTCACTCACTCACTCACTCACTCACTCACTCACTCACTCACTCTTACGTACATAGTTTGGTTGACTTTCCTCTGATGTTTGTTCCAGCTGGGAAAATATACTGGTCTGAAGGCTGCCGTTATCCTTGGTGGAGACAGGTTAGAAATAGACGCTTCTAGTTTATGGAAACCAGTTTTTAGAACGTGTAAATGTTTGCATTCAATTTTGTTATGTGTCATATTAATGGTCAGAATGTTCCTGGTGGGGAAAAGGTTTTCAATACAAGGTTAAGCCTAGTAGCATCAATAGCATGTTTCTGACTACAACCTACCTGATCAAAGTTTATTTGTTAAAATTTACAGAAATAATATTATGCTAGTGACAATAGTGTATGGTGTGACATAACATGATGTAATTGCTTTCTATATAGGATGGAGAACCAATTTGCTGCATTACATGAAAATCCAGATATGTAAGTATCAACTGACATTTGTCCATATGATTTCACTTTCTACCATCATAGTTACTTGTTTTTCCGTGACATATTGTTTACCACAAATATTAGAAATAGATACAGCACATAATTGCATTAGTCGTAAGTTGGTACACCTGTTCAGCCTTCATCATGGAACCCTTGTGGAACTTGCCTGTTTCAGCATCATCGCAACACCTGGACGTTTTCTCCATGTCATCGTGGAGATGGACATGAAGCTGAAGTCTGTGGAGTACATTGTGTTTGACGAAGCTGACAGGTAGGTATAGTGTGTGTACAATATGTCCTAAAGGTATTGTGTTTGACGAAGCTGACAGGTAGGTATAGTGTGTGTACAATATGTCCTAAAAGGTATTGTGTTTGACGAAGCTGACAGGTAGGTATAGTGTGTACAATATGTCCTAAAGGTATTGTGTTTGACGAAGCTGACAGGTAGGTATAGTTTGTGTACAATATGTCCTAAAGGTATTGTGTTTGACGAAGCTGACAGGTAGGTATAGTGTGTGTACAATATGTCCTAAAGGTATTGTGTTTGACGAAGCTGACAGGTAGGTATAGTGTGTGTACAATATGTCCTAAAGGTATTGTGTTTGACGAAGCTGACAGGTAGGTATAGTGTGTGTACAATATGTCCTAAAGGTATTGTGTTTGACGAAGCTGACAGGTAGGTGTAGTGTGTGTACAATATGTCCCAAAGGTGTAGTGTACAGTATGTCCTGTATTGTGTTTGTGAAGCTGACAGGTAGGTCTAGTGTGTGTACAATATGTCCTAAAGGTATTGTGTTTGACGAAGCTGACAGGTAGGTATGGTGTGTGTACAATATGTCCTAAAGGTATTGTGTTTGACGAAGCTGACAGGTAGGTATAGTGTGTGTACAATATGTCCTAAAGGTATTGTGTTTGATGAAGCTGACAGGTAGGTATAGTGATTGTACAATATGTCCTAAAGGTATTGTGTTTGATGAAGCTGACATGTAGGTATAGTGTGTGTACAATATGTCCTAAAGGTATTGTGTTTGATGAAGCTGACAGGTAGGTCTAAGTGTGTACAATATGTCCTAAAGGTTCTAGGAAGAGTAGATTCTCCATTATGACTACACAACTTACATTGTAATGCCACAATTGTTTGGTAGTATATTGATTTCATTAAGTTTATGGGGCAGTGGGGTAGCCTAGTGGTTAAAGCATTGGCTCGTCTCGCCGAAGACCTGGGTTCAAATCCCCACATGGGTACATTGTGTGAAGCCCATTTCTGGTGTCCCCAGCTATGATGTTGCTGGAATATTGCTAAAAGCGGCGTGAAACCAAACTCAGTCAGTCAGTGATTAAGTTTATAATCTTTTTAATTAAAGGTTGTTTGATTTTGTCTGTACGTCTATAAAAGACAAATAACCATCCGAAATTTGATGCCTCTTGGCTTTTAGTTTGTTTCCATGGTCACCAGTGTTCATGCTTAGATCGCATTTATAGTAAAAGATTGTTTTAACAACTAGTTCACTCATGCACAGTAAAAATGAGTTGAGGACTTTGACCATCATGTGTGGGAAGTGCTGTTGCCAATGCTGGAAATGGCTACCAGTGTTGTCTGGCATGTAACAGGAACTGTTTGGAGCATTGCTATGTACCCATGTGGAGGGATAACACTTGTACTGCTGTCGGGGTGGTGGATGGGGAGCTAAGTGGTTAAAGTGGTCGCTATTCATGCAAAGACCCTGGTTTGATTCCCAACATGTCAAGCCCATTTCTGGTGTTTCCTGCTAAAGGCATTAGCAAACTGGTAACTGCATATGTTGTGGAGAATGGTTTTCAGTGACATCTTGTTGTGTTGTTGCAGGTTGTTTGAGATGGGCTTCCAGGAGCAGCTCCATGAGATTATCCACCGGCTGCCTGAGTCACGCCAGACTCTGCTCTTCTCGGCCACGCTGCCTAAACTTTTGGTGGAGTTTGCTAAAGCCGGACTGACGGACCCCACACTCATCAGACTCGACGTTGACAGCAAGCTCAGTGAAAATCTCAAGGTAAGGTGTAATGAACTGTGTTAGTTGAGTCAGTCCTTTCCTCCACATGGTTTTCTGTAATATTGCAATAAAATTGCTTACTGGTCACCAGTGGCCCATGCTGTCAGAATAACCAGTGGAGAGATCTTATGGTGCAGTCTGTAACCTGAGGCGTATTCAGAACCGCGAGTGCCCACGAACGCTGGCGAGCGCTCGATCCTGAACGCCTGTGCCAGCTCGGCGCCGCGAACCATTCTCACAGCTGCCTCGCCAAGCGAACCAAGATGGCGCTCATGTTTAATGTCATTTGTCACCACTCGCCCCTTTCCGTAACCTCCAAAAAGAAGACATGGAGAATATTTTGTTAATGTTGTCAAATAACATGTATATGTCATCGAGTGGTCTGACAAAGTTGATATGTTCACGAGTTGCGTAACCATTGACAACATTAACAAAATATTCTATTTGTTATATGTTGATCATTGTTTATAAATGATCGAGACATCGATTTCGTAGTTTGCGTTTCGTAGTTCCAGGCAAAAGTGATATTTTTCCTTATCCTGACTCATGCTCTTTTGCTTGTCCCCTTCCTCTTGAGAACATAGTGGAACACTTGTATCTCCTTAATTGAAGCTCCCTTCAATGTAAAATCACTAATTGGTACTCACCCACGAGTTACCTCCCCTGCCGTAAGCGCGGGAACAGGTGTCGCCACCCTCTGGCCTCATGCTTCACTCTCTCCTTCTTCGCCCAGTGAGCAGGATGTGAGAGCGCCTGTGTCTCCTTACACACTATATCCTTTGGTTTTCTTAGTTAGTTACCTTTTATAGTTTACTATAAAGGTATAGCTAGTATCCTTCAGTTATTTGCATTAATAATTAATCATTATTTCTACTGTTTATTCCGTGAGTTCGTGATTGTTCAGCTAGTTTTACATTGATGAAAAACTGTACTATTTGTAGATTACGTTTTCCTCTCGCGGATCCGCATGTGGTATGCCCTAGTTGTACTACGCTTGGCTTGTGCGTTTGACTCCGTTGCAGTTACTGCATAAATTTAACCAATTCTGCCTTTGATAAATACCATCTTTGCGTCTTGAGGCGTGTTGCAGATAGGTCCGCAAACTAGGTGTAGACATGGCCCGATCGTCGGATTGCCCATCCAGTCAACTGCTGTCAGTGATCCCCTCCCGTCTGGTGTTCTGCTTGAGACCCCATCGGAAGAGGGGCGTGGGATGCAGTCCGTCACCTCTAAGAAGCGACCGGCCTCTCCAGACATCCAGTCATCGCAGACAAAGTCCAAGAGGGCCTCAAGCGTCTTCTCAGCGCAGACTTACGTACCCCAGGGCAGCGTCTTCCTCCAAAGGGAAATCACGAAGTCATCGAGAACTTTCTCAGCGAGATCGTTCCAGCAGCAGAATTGGCCTCTCGATGACCAGCCTATCATCATACCCGACATGCATACAAGAAGCGACCAGTGACAGCGACAGTGGCGTCAGCAGAGATCACAAAGCAGCCTGATGCCTCTACACTGATGTCAGGCCGAGATCGCTGAGGGCCCCACCGCTAACACAGCAGAAAGGGCACCATCTACTACGTCGCCAGATCATCCCAAAGCGATCTTATGAAACAGATCATGATTATGATGGAAGGCCACTATAGACTGGAGAAGCAGCCATCCCAGGGTCGAGCCTTAGCGAAGGCTCCAGCGTGAACAGCACCCCAGGGGCACCATCTGTCAGCGTAGCAGCCCGACAATGCAGCCGGCGAAGGAAGTCACAGACCACCTCGGACGAAGGACCCAGATGTACAGCCCAGCGAAGGCCTTCGTGCGGCGGGAAGAATCATCACCTTCTTGGCGTCATACTCAGATATGGAATCTGATCATCAGACCACCGCGCAAAGCCAGCGAAGGTCATATCATCGTTCCCCAGGACCCGACGCCATAAGCGAAGCTTAGCGAAGCGTTAGCGAAGGACACCTGAACCCAGATCGTCTTCATCTAAAAGATCAGCAAGGGACTACACAAGAGCCAGCGAAGCTATCAGTCCCCTCATAGGTCGCCAAGAAGGTCAACCTATCGATATAGATCACCAAGGCGATCACCTCGCCCGATCCTGCGTCGATCACCTCACAGGTCTGCACATAAGCCTACAACTAGATCTCCACAAAGCGTCAAGCGATATAGAGATAGAGCCACACAGCCCTACATCAGAAGAGCAACAACCTCTTATCTATGATGATGGAATGGAAGATGATGGAGGAATTATTTTCTCAGATGCAGAGATAAGATATTGGATGGTCAATAATCTAGATCTCTCATCACCTTCAAAGTGGCAATAAAGAGCGCAGACTTATCTGATGAAAGAAGATGGCGCAGATGCTATTACACTACCCCCAATCGACCCGATTAGCGGCGGTACCTCAGAACCTAGATACAGCATTTAACAAAGCCACAAAGGTTCAGGCGCCACATCTGCCAAATTTCGAAGCCAAGAAGTTCTCCGCATAATATGGAACCCTTCTTCAAAGCGCCAAGACATCGATGAGAACTATAAGCTGATCTCCGATGCCAAGAACAAGTACTACAAGATTGATGATGGAAATTGGTTCAGATAGAAACCATGGCGAGGCGTATGTTCTTTGGTCTAAATAGATCTAGAACAATAAATGAGACACTTATCTCCAGATTTGAACCGACCTCTGAAGATGACAGAATGATTTTTCGGCCCTACTGATGCAAAGAAGGACCAGCAGTTTTTAACAGATCATCTGGCGTCTGTCTCAGCAGCACTGACCTTAGCTCGTCGTCAAGGCCTCCTAGCTTCCTGCAACTGGGGTGAGAACTTTACAGCTCCACTATATACAGCCCGTGGTCTTCCCCATCCATATTTGGCGGAGGAATAGACACAGTCTCAAAGAAGTCACCAAGGATTCTAGAGAAGTCCTGATGATTAAATCGATGGACACGCTAGCCAGTGTCATTCGACAGACTTCACAAAGATACTCAGGGAGATCTAAATTCACGGGCCTACAAAGAGCTAGAGACAGGAAGATTGCCAGTTCAGGGGAAGAGATTCTTTTAAATTAAGCCCATATGGCAACTATAGAGGAGGGTCAGGGCGAGGCAGGACACCCAGAGGTTCCCATAACTATAAAGCTGAAAGACAGGTTCGGAGCGACTGGAGTCTTCCACCCCCAGCCGTTCCAGTACAACCGTCACAAGTGGGTGGGCGTCTTCAACTACACTGGGAAAACTGGGAATACTTCAAGACACCTATGTCTCCAACATTCTTCAGCAGCGGTTTCATTATCCCACTACAGGCCAAGCCTCCACTAACAGTCAACCCTCACAAGTTAGAGGTAGAGGCACAACAACTACTAAAGTTAAGAGGAGGTTACATTACTCCTAACCAAGCAGGCCATAGAAGTAATAGAGCAAGGAAACATCGAGACCAGGTTTCTACTCCCCAGTTTTCCTAGTACCCAAGAAGAACTCCAAGGAGAAATACAGACTCATTTACAACATGAGCTTCTTCAACAAGACTTACTTAAGCAGACCACCCAGGTTCACTATGATACATCTACGCAGCCTCTGGCAGATGATTAAGCCCCATGGACTACATGGGCAGTATAGATCTACAAGATGCTTATCTGCACATCCCAATACATCGAATCCAGGAAATACCAGCCGGTTTCGCTAGGCGGGTTACATTACCAGTGGAAAGTACTCCCATTGAATAGCATCAGCCCCATGGTTATTCACGAGGATAGCGAAACCGATTGTTACCTATCTACATCGTCAAGGGCTCACATGAGTGCGTTCTTCCTCGACTTGACGGGATACAAGTAGATCAAGATCCACAGCATCTCAAACTACAGTTAAACTACATCATAAAGCTACTAACACAGCTGGGATGGTTAGTAAACTTACACAAGTCGGACCTAGTACCATCGCCAAGATCTGCAATTCCTAGGAATCCGATTTATCACCAATCTCAACCGTATAGTCGTACCAGAAGACCGTTGGCTCAAGATCCAACAGATCATTCCACCAGCTCTACTTTCACGCTACCACCGACAATGGCAGAGCTTACTAGGTCTTCTAACATCAGCCCAAGACTTGACAGTCATAGGCAGATTACAGTTACGTCCATTACAGGTCTTCGTCAATACACATCTCGGCGACCTACAACCATTCAGTCTACCGATACATCTCAGACCTCATCTATTATGGTGGACAAAGAAATCGAATGTCTGCGAAGGGATTTGTTTAGCAGAGCAGGAATTCAAGACCCATCTATATGTAGGCAGCGTCGCTCCAAGGTTAGGGGAGCTCATCTCTCCAACCGGACTGACATCAGGGTTATGGACTCAGCTAGAAAGCAAACTCCACATAAGCATTAGAGATGAAAGCTGTAATCAGCGCCATAAGACATTGGAGCAACATTCTACAGAATCGCACCTGATGATACATACCGACAACTTCGACAGTGGCGTTTTATGTGAACAGACAAGGCTCAGCGAGATCGCCGAACCTTTTGAATTTAACCTTTCAACTGTTGAATTAATCCAAGATCTAAATCTACATGTCAAAGCATGCCACATTCCCGAGCCAGGAATATACTAGCAGGCGCTCTCGGCCACATCTACCGTCGCCCGACAGAATGGATGCTCAATACAGAGATATTTGCACAGATAATCAAGCAAAATAGGGGGCCGCTAGTAGATCTATTAAGCCACAAGGTTCAACAATCAACTACCGACATTACGTGTCACCAGTGCCAGACCCACAAGCATGGGCAACAGGCGGCTCTAAGCATTTCATGGGAAGGCCTCAATGCGTGCAGCGTTCCGCCCCAGCAATAATACCTCTAGTATTACAGAAAATCAACCAAGCGCCAGAGCCTACAACTCACTTTGGTGGCCCTATTGGCCGGCCAGAGCGTCAGTTTCCGCCCTAATACAAGATATCGGTCAACCCGGCACTAGAACTACCCAAAAGCGCAAACCTGTTAATACATCCTCACACCAAACAGGTGCACAGAAACCCAAGTATTCAAACTTCGCATTATGGACTGTATTAAAATGTGTTTAAACAGAGAGGATATTCTACCAGAGGCGGCAAAAGCGGTCCGCTTGCCTTACGATACTCAGCGTAGCTTATGCGATGACAAGTGGCAAAGTTTGAAAATTATGCAACAAACAAAGGGTTTTACAGCGAGAGATGCTACGCATCCTCAAGTGGCAGACTATTTGTGTTACTTACGGCAAAACAAACATTTAAAAGGCTCGACATTGTCAACATATCTTGCAGCTTAGTTCTGTGATTTCTATGAGAGCGGGTGTTAAATTAACAAGAACACCAGAGTTACTGGCCTTACTCGTGCTTTCGATTGGAGGACCAAAGCGGAAATTCCACGCGCTAGCTTGGGATCTGAATGTAGTTTCACGACACCTCACAAGTGAGGATTATGAACCATTGGAATCGACAAGCGTTTGAATTTCTCTCACAGAAAACAGTCTTCCTGTTATCGCTAGCCCCACGGCAGCCAGAATATCTGAAATTCATGCTCTAGATTATGAGAGGATACAGTTTGATGAAAATCAAAAGACAAGCACCTGGGATTAAGATGGGATTTCATCGCCAAAATCAACTACCAGGTCAACCAGACAGGTTATTTCACATCCCTGCGCTATCCTCAATTCTTGGATCTCAAGATACATTGGACTTATCTCTATGCCCAGTCACGAGCTCTCATAATCTATTTGCGTCGTTCCAAAACAAAGCGAAGATGGCTCAGAAGATTGTTCATCCGTTATAAGCCTACAAATCAGACAGAAGTCTCTCGTACCACCATATCTATATGGATAAGAACTGTCATTTCACAGCCTATAAGGCAGCAGGACTGGACCCTCCAACAGCATCAAATCCCCATGAAATCAGGGCATTGGCATCCACCCTCGCCCTTCATGGTAACTGTTCATTGAATACAATTATGGAAGGATGCTTTTGGAAATCTAACATGGTGTTTGCTAATCACTATCTCAGAGATATCACCACCGAGGGCGTCTCTGGCATTCATCATTTCGGTCCTTTGGTCCTCGCTCAGCAATTGACAGTCCCTCGTGGCGTTAATATTCACTTACGAGATTATTAGATATATGATACATATATTCACTAGCTTATAACTCCATGGAGTTCTAGGGCTATGTACATATTTAGCTTAGGTTATTCAACCTTAAGCTCATACTGAGTTATATTCAGTGTACAGCTACGTTAGAGTAGCAGTTTATATATATATATTGATATATCAGTATATTAGTAAGGTAATACCCCACTTATAGTGTATATATCTATGGCTTATTATAAAGGAAATATCCTAAGTCTCAATGCCTTATGAAGTTCCTTGAAGTTATTACAATATCACTTACTTAAATCACTAATTAATCCAAAGTATTCTGTTTACCCACCACCTCTCCGATTGGATTCTACAAACAAAGAGCATGAGTCAGGATAAGGAAAAATATGTAATTTTTGAGTAAAATTGATATTTTATACTTATCCTGACTCATGAATGCTCCCTCCCATCCTCCCACATAACACTTTGGATTTCCCTGTAAATTCAAGTGTTGGGCTCATAAAATCAGGAGAGAGTGAAGCATGAGGCCAGAGGGTGGCGACACCTGTTCAGCGCTTACGACGGGGAGGTAACTTCGTGGGTGAGTACCAATTAGTGATTTTACATTGAAGGGAGCTTCAATTAAGGAGATACAAGTGTTCCACTATGTTAAGCAAGAGGAAGGGACAAGCAAAGAGCATGAGTCAGGATAAGTATAAAATATCAATTTTACTCAAAAAATTACACTATACATGCCAGTAGTCCAAGTATTGACAATGCATTAGTGTTGCTACATGTTTACCAACCAGGGCCCTTATTCTCGAAACATTTCTAGACCTAAGAATTCGTAATTTTGATCGTAGCCAATGTGTTAAGAATGGGCTTAAGAAGTTCATAGGGCTATGAACGTTTCGAGAATAGCTAGACAGATTCACAAGCATCAGTGATAAAGTTGCACAATTGCTTACTCCGACATGCGACCTTTTTATGTGAACATATGAGAACACCTCCATAGATGATAGTATCAAGTGTCCTTTCTTGTCAACCATTCTGCATCGAAGCTTCTAAATTTGCTGTGAAAATGAACAAATTATATTGTTGATCATATTTTATTCACCCTGTCTCGAGCACCATGGTATCTACACCCAAGAAGATACTGTCATAAATATTTGTGTTCTGTAGGGTTTCTTTTGTCAAAATCAATATTTCTGCATAAATTTGGTAAATAATTGAAACCAAATCACTGTACAAAATTATCACCCTATTTGCTTAAGAACCCATTCTTCCTTCACTGGACATCAGTTGGCAGTCAAGGTTCAGTCAGAGTTCACCTCATGTGACCTTTATTAAGATGTCCTTGGCTGTTCATGCAGAGAGGTGTCATTTTAGAGCACAAGATCTTATTTTAACAAGACTTATAATTTGAACTCTGCTTGTTTGCCTCCAGCTTTCCTTCCTGGCCTGTCGGGCTGTCGACAAGCTGCCCCTCCTCATCTACCTGCTACAGTCTATTATCAAGGCCAAGGAGCAGACGGTCGTGTTTGCCGCCACCAAACATCATGTGGAATATCTAAACATGGTAAGCACATGGTAACAGAAGGTTAAGCAAGAGACCATCGTCACCAAGCATGCAGCAGAGTTTAATCTTTGTTAAAAAGGGGGTAACAAAGTTCCTCTTAATATGAAACTGTTTCTTATAAGAGCTGTAGGGATCATCACTGGCTACCAGATTGCATCATGTTCATCAGTTGTGTTAGTGTTAAACTGTCCGCCCATCATGCTGAAGGCCAAGGTTCGATTCCCCACTTGGGTACAATGTGTGAAGCCCATTTCTGGTGTCCCCAGCCATGATATTGCTGGAATGTTGCTAAAAGCGGCATAAAACCAGACTCACTCACTCATTGTTAAGCATTGATATAGTTTCTTTCTCTGTTCAAAGTACTATTTTGTCATTGAAATGTAGATACAAAAAGCGTATAAAATTTTGGGATTTCAAGACAGATTAGATGCTTGGTACGCTGTGCTTGTCTCTGGACAAAATGGGTCCCCCCTGTATGTGTCACCTGGGGATTCTCATCCAGAATAGGTCCCCACGACTTTTCCACCTGGTATAGCTCCCCAGGAATGCCTCACCTGGCTAGAATAGGTCCCATTATTGTTTTACCTGAGCTTTCTTTGTAAGAATAGGTCCCCGTGATTGGCATTCTTGGGTAGATAGGTCCCTGTGATTGTCTTGCCTGAGCTTTCCTGGGTAGAATAGGTTCCAATAATTGTCACCTTGGCATTCCTAGGTAAAATATGTCCCCACTATCGTTTTAACTGGGTACTCTTCGGTAGAATAGGTTCCAATGCTTGACTTACCTGGGCATTCTTGGGTAGAATAGGTGACTATGATTGTTTTACCTGATCTTTTTTGAGTAGATTACGTCCCCTGTGCCCCATGTATTCACTCTTCGGAAGGATTGGGCCTCAAGTGCCAGTGTATGTTTCATGGGGGCATTCTTGGGCAGAATAGGGTAACACACTATTACCATCCAATCCTGATTTAAGCTGACAGTTACACAAGCATGAAACTGTCCAAGAATCCTCCCCCATCATCGTACATCAACATTCATTCACTCACTCACTCACACCAGGTCCTGTCCAAGGCCGGAATCCCATCCAGCTACATATACAGTTCCCTGGACCAGACGTATCGTAAAATCAGCGTGGCCAAGTTCCAGCACAAGAAGGTCAATGTGATGATAGTTACTGATCTGGCAGCCAGAGGCATTGACATACCAATGTTGGACAATGTCATCAATTTCAACTTCCCAGCAAAGTCCAAGCTTTTTGTTCATAGAGTTGGTAAGTGTAGTGTTCATGTGCAGTTTCCATATAAATTCACATACATCCTTGTGAGCATACACTTGTCTAAACAATGTATGATATACTTTCTCACATAATGTTCCATTTCATAACTGAAGTTTCATTCCTGCTGTTGTAAGCCTATGTTAAACTATAGGAGGAACAACAGCTGTACATCCATGTTAAACTATGGGAGGAACCACGGCTGTACATCCATGTTAAACTATGGGATGAACAACAGCTGTACATCCATGTTAAACTATGGGAGGAACAACAGCTGTACATCCATGTTAAACTATGGGATGAACAACAGCTGTACATCCATGTTAAACTATGGGAGGAACAACAGCTGTACATCCATGTTAAACTTTGAGTGAGTGAGTTTAGTCTTACGCCACACTCAGAAATATTCCAGCTATATGGCGGCGGTCTGTAAATAATCGAGTCTGGACCAGACAATCCAGTGATCAACAGCATGAGCATTGATCTGCGCAATTGGGAACCGATGACATATGTCAACCAAGTCAGCGAGCCTGACCACCCAATCCCGTTAGTCGCCTCTTACATCAAGCATGGGTTACTGAAGGCACATTCTAACCCATACCTTCACAGGTGGTTAAACTCTACAGTCACAGAGCTACAATCCCAAAGAGGACTCAGTTCTTAAGTATTCATATCCTGGTGGAAGGTTGTTTACATGCCACAGAAAATGCACAGTTCAGCTGCGAAAGTAATATGTGCATTTGACAGCAGATTTTTCTGAGACTATCTGCAAGGCGTGGACACATCACCAATATGTCTGCTGATCCTACACCTTTTCATTTGGTTTTTGTTGGATTGTGCATATTAAGATTCATCAATATATAGATACGTCACAAGTTAACACCTGACAATGTGACATGCCACGCGGTCACTCATACAAATGGTGTTTACATTGAGTACTGATTTATGACGAGTAATATATACAAAGTTTTTCAATAACTTGGATAACTGCTGAGCCTAGCATATTTCTCAAAATATGATGCTAAATCTGGTTGCATAATACACATGTACTATAATTTTGCTTAAAATAACCAATTGGAAGGTGGTTAGCTGGCCTCAAGTAACATGGAGGATTTCACACAGAAGCAACCGATGAATCAAGCTATGTGAGGTAGAAGTGTCATGACCTTGTACATCCAACTGTTTATTTCAGGTCGTGTTGCTAGAGCTGGTCGTAGTGGAACTGCCTACAGCCTCGTAGCCCCCGAGGAAGTGCCCTACCTCTATGACCTTCACGTGTTTCTGGGGAGGGCTGTCAGGACTGTTCCCAAAGGCAAAAAAATCACAGGTATGACAGTTTATATCAAGCTTTGCCCAGATGTTGTCTGTGATTGAACTGATTCCACAGTGAAAATGGCTTTCACGGGTTTCACTTGCCAGCTAGGGACAAAAAGTATGTGATCTAGAGTACCACCTGTCGGACTTTACGTAGCTGGTTGAGTGTGTTAGATTGCTTTCTTTGTGGACTGGTGATTAGCTGCCTTACTCTGAGATAATCAATGATGGGACTCAACTCAAGTGTAGTAGAAACTGTGCAACCAATATTAGCAAGTTAGCTCAATTTGTGGCAGAACCTGTCACTGTTGATGAAAGCAAAGCTTTGATGCAAGTTGGAAAAATCTGTTGATAATTTCATTGTAGATGAGGTGAAAAGGGGTTTAACATTGTACTTTTTAATTATTCACTCATATGACGACGTGCATTCATGTGTATGTGTGGCTGCTTGTACTAGCCCAAACTTAAGCTGGTTTTATATAGTGCTAGCTCACTGACATACCATGCCGCAGTGAAGCATGAATACCCCACTCAGACACATTATACTGACTCCGAGCCGACCAGTCCTTGTTGTACCCATTAATGCCGAGCGCCAGGCAGGGACCAACAAGAACCTTTTAGACGTATTTTGGTATGTCGTGGCAGGGGATAGGACCCGCGACCTTGCGCTCTTGGTTGGGGGTGGGGGGTGTACGCTCTAACCACCACACCACATAGGCAGCCAGTTTCATTGTAACTGAAAGTTGCAATGTGATTTTTCCTGTTCTGTTTAAAACCAGGGCCCCATTCCTCAAAGCGATCGTAGCGCTACGACTGTCGTAAGTCTATGTTAAGGTATGGGAGTTACGATCATCTTAGCGCTACGATCACTTTGTGGAACGGGGCCCTGGAGATCTTGATTGTTGCTAACCAGTGCCTGATTGTGTGTACAGATGATGGTTGGTGGTTCGGTGAGGTGCCGCAGCGAGTGATAGACAGTGAGGCAGAGATGGTGAGGCAGCTGCACGACGAGTCTGTGGACCTGGTGAGTTGTTCAGGGCAGGCTGTGGGACCTCTAAATTATATATGTGTAGGAAAATTGGAATCTTGCAGCACTTCTTCCTGACCACTGGAATAAGTAGTGAATGTAACTTTTTAACTGATTTATTCATATGCAGTGTTGTTGTGATAGTCACAATGTTTGTGTGTTGATACGACAACGCCTGACAAGATATTGAGATCTATACTGTACTATCTCATCATCATCAAATATAAAAGTTGTTATCCATAAATATCTAATGTGTCTAAATATCTAAAAATGACAAGTAAACAGTTCACTATTTATTTCGGCTACATGTTCTTATTTGTCATTTAACCCTTTCATTACCTGTAAGTGACAATATTGTATAAAAGTGGATTTCCCTTCTTCAGCAAAACTTGAAGCGTGTGAGTGAGAATGCCTACAAGCACTACGTCAAATCTCGACCTCTGCCAGCCCAAGAGTCTGTAAAGAGAGTGAAAGATGTTGACAAGTCAGGGGTGAAACTGGGTGCTCACCCTTGTTTTGGTAAGGATGTGCTCCATGGGCTGTTGGTTAACTTTCAGGTGCTTGTAGGTCCAGTTTTTCCCAGCCATGACAACTGTCTTTCCACATTATGCAATAAGCATGAAGATTTATCGTTTTGAAGCTACCCTAGAGCATCTTAAATAGAATATACTCAAAACCACTGAACAGAAAATGGCTGTTTGTAGTCAAAACATATCTTCACTAAAACAATCTGTTCAGATAAGTTTTGAAAATGTCTTTTTTATATTATTTTGTCCTACATACCTGTATGAACCAGAATGTTTCATGGAAAGAAATATACAAGAATTTTTCACAAAAGATATAAAACAGTGATCCTTTAGTAAGTCTGCCTATTGTTGCTTGCATGTAAGGTGTGTATTTTATTTATCAACACTGAGCAGGAAATGTGACCAAGATGTGATTGTGTGACTATTGTGGAACACTTCTCCTTCCACAGCCAGTGTCAAGACTGGAGACGAGTCTGAGCGGCTGAACCTGCTGGATGCTCTCCGTAGCTACAAGTCAAACACAGTCAGTATCTATGTGGTGATCAGTGTCTGTCTCCTCTGTCAGTGTAGGATCAATTCCTGTCGCATTCCATGGGAACCTGGTGTAGAATGTCTGTCAAGCATCCATGTGAACTGGGGCAGTGGGGAACCTGGTGTAGAATGTCTGTCAAGCATCCATGTGAACTGGGGCGGTGGGGAACCTGGTGTAGAATGTCTGTCAAGCATCCATGTGAACTGGGGCGGTGGGGAACCTGGTGTAGAATGTCTGTCAAGCATCCATGTGAACTGGGGCGGTGGGGAACCTGGTGTAGAATGTCTGTCAAGCATCCATGTGAACTGGGGCGGTGGGGAACCTGGTGTAGAATGTCTGTCAAGCATCCATGTGAACTGGGGCGGTGGGGAACCTGGTGTAGAATGTCTGTCAAGCATCCATGTGAACTGGGGCGGTGGGGAACCTGGTGTAGAATGTCTGTCAAGCATCCATGTGAACTGGGGGGCGTGGGGAACTCTGGTGTAGAATGTCTGTCAAGCATCCATGTGAACTGGAAGCGGTGGGGAACTCTGGTGTAGAATGTCTGTCAAGCATCCATGTGAACTGGGGCGGTGGGGAACCTGGTGTAGAATGTCTGTCAAGCATCCATGTGAACTGGGGCTGGGTGGGGAACCTGGTGTAGAAATGTCTGTCAAGCATCCATGTGAACTGGGGCAGTGGGGGAACCTGGTGTAGAATGTCTGTCAAGCATCCATGTGAACCGGGGCAGTGGGGAACCTGGTGTAGAATGTCTGTCAAGCATCCATGTGAACTGGGGCGGTGGGGAACCTGGTGTAGAATGTCTGTCAAGCATCCATGTGAACTGGGGCGGTGGGGAACCTGGTGTAGAATGTCTGTCAAGCATCCATGTGAACTGGGGCGGTGGGGAACCTGGTGTAGAATGTCTGTCAAGCATCCATGTGAACTGGGGCGGTGGGGAACCTGGTGTAGAATGTCTGTCAAGCATCCATGTGAACCGGGGCGGTTGGGTAGCCTAATGGTTAAAGTGTTGGTTCGTCACACCGAAGACCCGGGTTTGAATCCCCACATGGACACAAAGTGTGAAGCCCATTTCTGGTGTCCCCCGCCGTGATTTTGCTGGAATATTGCTAAAAGCGGCGTAAAACCAAACTCAGTCAGTCAGTCCATGTGAACCTGGAGTTAAATGTCTGTCAAGCATCCAACAGACGATAAAATTGGAAATCCTTTGAGATTTGTAGATTAGAACTGGCCCAGGCAACCAATCCTGTTTGTAAATGATGACTGCATGTATACTATGGTCAGGCTCCTGGACTTGATTGATTGATTGATTGTCAGTGTAATTGATAATTTAGAACCATTGCTGAATATGGAGTTAACATCAAACACACACCGTCACAGCAGGCAGTACAACCTAAGAGCTCTTTCAATGAAGTGCTGTCTGATTTCTACATTTTCAGGTGCAGATGATGGAGTATATGAAATGTCCATGTGGATATACAATGTAATGAAATCCACCCTGCCCATCCCTTTCAAAACTGTAAGAGGCGACTAACGGGATCGGGTGGTCAGGCTCGCTGACTTGGTTGACACATGTCATCGGTTCCCAATTGCGCAGATCGATGCTCATGCTGTTGATCACTGGATTGTCTGGTCCAGACTCGATTATTTACAGACCGCCGCCATATAGCTGGAATATTGCTGAGTGCGGCGTAAAACTAAACTCACTCACTCTCACTCCTTTCAAAACTGAACCTCCAGAACAATTACTGTTGCAAAGGGCTACATAACTCCCAAATATGAGGTGATCGCAACTCCTGTTCTTCAACATGGGCTGAACTTGCTTAGATAATGGTAGCAGTAAGATACTTTGTGATACATTGCCCTGGACATTACTCCATACTTACAGAGGAATGTGTTAGCTTGGAATTTTGAAACTGCAGGTATTTCACTGAAGACCGTAAAGTGTAGATTATTACATATATATGTTTCACATGTTTCACAATCTAATTTGTTTTAAGCTTAGTACAGTAAACATCATACATGTAATGAGCTAACATACCTGCCAACAGGTTTCTGTTGTAACAGAGTTTATGGCTGACCCAGTCATGTTAGCACCACCATGTGCCATACAGAGTTGCCTCCCCTTGCATGCCACAGTCCTTTGATCATACTTGCCCAGATTATGATATTCGGTTTGTCAGCACCATACCTGGGCTTGTAGTTTTGCATTACTCACTTCGCTGACACACTGTGATATAACAGATATAGTGACCAGACATTCACTGCAAGAACAAATCATGTTACAGACAATATTTGAAGTGAATTCCACCAACAAGAATCCATCATTTGATGTGATGAAGAACAAGCGAACATGGCATGAGAAGGTGGTCTGCAGCAACCGACTGAAGGAGGCCAACATGCGGGACGCAGACATGGAAGAGGAGGATCAGGAGGAGGATCAGGAGGGGGAGGAGGAAGCAAATCAGGAGGATGTTAAGGTTTGTGTCGCTAGACATGTTTTATTGCAGGGCTAATCAAGCACACCTGATTCCTGGAATTCCTACTTTACCACAGACACTGACAGCAATGGAGGACGTGTAAAGCATAACTATTCACTTTGGAGTGTATCTTAGCCATAACAGGATCCCCTGACTCGTCATTTACTGCTAAATGAATTCAGTGGTCAGTGGGTGTCAGGATCTTTATGCTGACATGTGATGTGATTCAATGACAATCACTCACAGAGGCTTCACTGTCCAGTTGGTTTAAAGAATCTCTGAAACTTTCACATGTTGTAGTAATTTCTTTCATTCTTCTACCAGTAACTTGAACAACATGTTTACAATAATCTCGTAATAACTTTTAAAGTCATACTTTTATATATATTGTTGAAAATGTGTTAATGATATTCTATTTTGAATTCTACCTTGGGCTTGTCATAAGATCCAAACACTTTCATAAGGGTAGTAGAGCTATATACAAGTTGAATGCATGTAGATCCTTAGCAGTGAGATGGTGTAGAAATGTCCTTTCTCTGTCTGTAGAACGTGTTCAGCACTGTGATTGCACCCAGCAAGCATCACTCTGGCAGGGAGACCTCCCAAAGGAGGAAGGGGAAGAAACGGAAACTCACAGACATCAAAGATGAAGAGAACTATCTCCACTACCGTCCTGCTGACTACCAGAGTGAAAAAGGGTCAGTCACAACTACAGATTGGCTAATAAACTGTTTAACCTATAGGTGGCTTTTTAAAAAAAGTTATAAATAATAACCACATAGGGAATAAATTAAGCTGAAATGCTCACAAACACAGACAATTTGATAACTTGGTGGCAGGATCTATGTAAATGAAGTCTCCAAGCAAGAACTATTTCCATATAATGAACATAGAGATTTTTTCATGATTCATCTTCTTTTTATTCTTGAGTACAACGCTTTCAGGGCTTGTGATGGGGCCAGAACAAGCCCTGAAACGTTGCACTTGAGAATAAAAAGAAGATCTAACCCAGAAAAAATCTCTATGTTCATCAAATATCATCTTCTAAATTGCCAATCAAGCATCTATTTCCATATATATGAGATGTGTGTTTGCTCATTGTTCCCATTGAGTTCAGACAAAGGTTCTCTGATGTGTAGGTCATTTTGTAGACAAATATATGAATAATAACACTATCTGATTAATGGGACATGCATACACTATATTATGGGACATGCATACACTATATTATGGGACATGCATATACTATATTCATACCTGGTTTCTAAGGTCATTTCATGGAGTGGGGTAGCCCAGTGGTTAAAGCGTCTGCTCGTCACGCCGAAGACCCGGGTTCGATTCCCCACATGGGTACATTGTGTGAAGCCCATTTCTGGTGTCCAGCACCGTGATATTGCTGGAATATTGCTAAAAGCGGCTTAAAACCACACTCACTCATTTCATGGAGTGATATTTCATCTTGAACACTGCATTAAAAAAAAATCATTTTCAAAATCAGAGATGATTAATGTTGTTTCTTAAATTTAATGTCCAGTATGAGGAATTAAAGGTGCTTGTTATGCTTGCTAAATGTTAGCATAAGACATTATTTAATGTGGGGTATTCATGATACACAAACACCCTTGGGTAATAATCACTATTCATCAGTTAAATTCACAGTGTTTGGATTGTGAAGCGTTGTGTCTGGTCCCTTATGGATTGGCCATTGCAGTTATAGAATTAGGTTTTTGAGAGTCTGTCAATAAAGCTTCACATTCTTTCTCAAGGATTTTGTGCAAGTAGGGCCATCTTGCATATATATGTTGTCTGCAGCTGGTTATGTTATGGAGTGTTTTCTTTCAGCCTGAGCGTCAGCAGTACATTTGAGCAGCAGGCCTCAAGTGCTGTTCTGGATCTCACAGGGGATGACGAGACCGGGATCAAGAAGAAAAACAATCAGCTGAAATGGTGAGTTGTCTCCCTTTAGTTACCAGTTCACTGTCAATGCTCAACATAAGAAACATTGAGTAGTTAAACATTGTGTGAACCAAATTTCAGTCTTGTCCCATACCATGCTAATAATGTAGTTGGATGGTACTGACTGATTCTACAGCTGTAGGAGATTAAATATCAGGGTTGTGGTCTCTTTGTCTCACCTCACTGTTAAAGAACTCTCTTCACTTTATATATCAGCCTCCAGTTTGTGTAAATAACCAAACTTTCAACCTGTATCCTGTTCCCTTTATTTGATTGAATACCCCATATATATCCTACTGAAAACACACCATGTGAAAGATATCCTTTGATAGTTTATGAAATAAAAGCAGATGTCATTTGGAAACCAGTATGACTTGAATTACCTGCTCCTGCGTGTTTTAAGGCAAATTTGGATGAAAATCTTATAATTAATGTGTTGTAGCCTAAGGATCATAACAGTTTCTGCATTCACTAATGACTGTACATTTTCTGGGTTCTTGTACATCCCAAAGTGATTAACCTTCGGTGATGTTAAAGCTTATTAAAAGATTTGTTCAACCAATTTGATGTTTGACAAAGACCTAAATTCCTGGTGTTTTGGGGGTTTTCATCTGACAAAATTAACTTACATGATGTCTCAGTTATCTATTTCATGACTAAACTAAGTAAACATTCTTGTCCTACTTTCACCATGAATCTTACTTCTTTAAGTGGCAATTGCCGTATATTACCGTCAATAAGCCAACCCTGAAACTTGACCCTTAAAATCAGTGTCAAAATGGTATGTTTCGTACATCCCCCATGATAGGGTTCCAATCCTGGCAAACACAGACCACAGACAACTGGCAGTTACCAATAATTATAACTTTGGTCCACATTATTCAAGGAATTCACAATCATATTGCGTCTACTCACGCATCGAAATGAAGGGTAGTTGACAGAAAATGGATAATATATTTTGTTTCGCTAAATATCATACTTGTAGTTGGACGATCACATGTCAACAAACTGGCTTGCGTATTTTACCCCATTCAACAAGGACAAACTGATTACCGCCTTGTTTTCCATGGGCTGCTAGTTTACATTAACATCAGTAAAAATGTGTACAAATTCCGCTTACCTTGAGGGTCTGTATAACCTTAGTGTTGATTATATATATTTTACATTTATAGATCAAAAACTGTAATTAAAATTACTCAATGCTAGGATATATTTCTTTGGGTTAAATAATAGCACTCTGTATGATATTTTACTGATGACTGCGTCAGAATTCATCCCGTTATATTATTGTGCATGTTTGAACTTGATCGCCAGGAAACGGGTGCACAGCTGATTGCTATTTCTGGCTCAGATACACACGGTAATCTTAATCCCTTCAAATAATACAATGCCCAGCAAAAACAACTTAGAACTTAAAAGGTAAATAATCTTGTCTAGTGATGTTTAATTGCAAATTTGACGTCTTTACTGACAAAGTTGTCTTCTGTTGTTTGTTCACGTGAAGTGATACAATGTTGTGTTCTTACCCCTGGAAAAAAGTTTGACAAAAGTGTAACTCCTAGATAAGCCGACCCTCTTCTTTTGCTTTTTTTTTATCCTAAAAATTCGGCTTATAGACGGTAATATACGGTAGAAGCTGGCATAATGAAGAGGAACACTTTTGTATGGATAAAAATCTGTCTGAAATGACATGCAGCTACATCAACTACTTTTGTTGAAAGGGATAGAAAGAAGAAGAAGTTTGTCCGAGAAGAACAGTCTTTATCTAGATCGTAAATTGTCAGAAAAAAGCCATTATCTCAGCATCCTGGGTAATGTTAACTGTCACACAATAGGATTTGCCCTTCTGAGTTGTTATTAAAAACGTTTGGTCTTTCCTCAAAGGGAACCGTGAATATTTGGGTTAAAATTTGTCTTCAGCAACCCATGCTTGTCGTAAGAGGCGACGAATGGGATCGGGTGGTTGATGCATGTCATCATATCCAAGTTGCTTAGATCGATTTGTTCTGTCAATCACTGGATTATCTGACTGGATTATTTACAGAAATACTGTCATATAACTGAGAAACTGCTGAGTACGATGTTAAACCACAAACAAACCTTCCCCAAGGTAATGTCCTTAACTGCAGAAGTGGTCTTTCATTAGTGTTTTGAAGTCAGACAAATACTCAAACATATTCAGAATTAAGTAGGTTTGGTGGGGCAGTGGTGATTTATGTGCATGATTTGTTCTACTTAAGAGACCCGTGAAGGTCCGGGTTAGAATCAACCTTCAGTAACTCATGCTTGTCATAAGAGGCGACTAATGGGATTGGGTGGTCACACTCGCTGGCTTGGTTGACACATGTCATCGGTTCCCAATTGTGCAGGTCGATGCTCATGCTCTTGATCACTGAATTGTCTGGTCCAGACAAGATTATTTGCAGACCGCCGCCATATAGCTGGAATATTGCTGAGTGCGACGTAAAACTAAAGTCACTCACTCACTCTACGTAGAAATCTGTCTGAAATGACATGCAGCTACATCAACTACTTTTGTTAAAAGGGATAGAAAGAAGAAGAAGTTTGTCCGAGAAGAACAAGACCCGAAGAAGAGGAAGATAAAAACAGAGAGTGGTACCTGGATCTCAGCCTCTTACAAGTCCAATGCATATCCTTTGCTTTCCTACACCGGCTCCCTGTGGCATTCTGGTTTTGAATTGCTCCCAAGATGTCATACTAATTAGAAGGTGACCTAATGAATTGAGTGGTCAGTCCCTGTAACTTGGACGATTGTAAGTCATGTTCTTATGACGGTGGAGGACATTGGTCATATCGATCACTGGTATATCTAGTCTAGACTTGACAGGATGTCATCATGTAGCTTGAATATTGATGAGTGATGCGTTGACCAACAAATACATCTTACTCTAATCACACAACCTATTAAAGGTATAGGTGTCCATTGCAATAAGACTAACGTTTCATTACACTGCATACACTCACTCAGAGACGCAAGTTGGGATTATTGGTTAGAATCTATCCCAAGCATCCTGTATTTGTTGTTTAAGGTAGCTAAGTGGATAAGGTGGTCGACGTCTTGTCCTCCTAGTCTGCTTGTTGCTCACAGTATCAATGGTTTGACTGGTCCAGGCTTGATTGATTCCAGGCTGCTGTCACATGGCTGGACTATAGTGCTTCATGATAGAAAAACCCGTGAAAATGAGGGTTAGAATTGATCTTCAGTAACCCATGCTTATTGTAAGAGGCACTAACTGCATCGGGTGGTCAGGCCCACTGACTTAGCTGACACATATCATCGCATCCAAATCAGATCGATGCTCATGCTGTTGATCACTGGATTGTCTGGACCAGACTCAATTATTGACAGACTGCCATGTAGCTGGAATATTGCTGAGTGCAGCATAAAACTAAACTCACTCGCTCATAATAGATAAATCAGGCAGAATTTGCTCAACCAGTTTTTCCCTTATGTGTATTTTCCTTAATGTCTTCACTTACCGTGACTGGCGAGACAAACACAAGATTGACTCCAACCCAGGGGACAGTGATGGCGAAGGTCAAAAGTCAAGGTCAGGAAGACCAGGCCGCCTAGTGGTAATGGGCTCCAAGGGACGACTGTGTGAGTTCACTGTATATTCCATACAAACTTAACACTTTTCTTAAAACTTGTTTCAGGAGCTTAACAATTTAACAATTAGCTTTCTCTCAGGAAGAGCAAACAATTGAATTTGAAATGAAAGCCTGTTTCAAAATAATCAGATTTTATGATACTCATATTAGATGTATCCTATGGTAATTCAGGATCAGGTAACTTGTTCTTGTAATACTACTGCTAATTAATATGGATCAGGTAGTAATAGAGTATCACCTACCTGATTATTATAACCCAACAACTTTTATGTATGGGGCATAAAACAACATTCATTTGATTCCATGTACATATTACATAGCCATGTATTTCCATTTTGTTTGTTTACATTTCATTTATGATCAGTTCTCTCAACATTATTTCTTCTTATATGTAAGGCATCAGTTTTTGTGTCTGCATTGCGTGGGTGGCGGTTGTCTAAACATTACTGCTGTTATTGCAGGGCACACCAAGGGATCTGAAGAAGCTTCAGGAACTAAGAAGAAGAAACAGTTTAAGGAACTGAAGTCAATCGATCAAATAGCAAAGAATAGAAACCAAAAAAGCAAAATCCAGAATTTCCAGAAACACAGAAGGGAAGAGAAACGTAAGAGGAGAACATTTAAGAACCAGAAGATGAAAAAACAAAAATAATTGGAAACAGCTTCCGTCAGTCATTGAGTTCATCATCGGTTTTGTTAATATGTGGTCTACATCAAGAAACTGTCAAGATGTGCGTGTCAGACAGTAACAGAAGTGTTTACAATGTATGCTACTCTGAATTATGGTTCAGAAGTATGAAAACTTCTTGCAATGGGACAAGCTGCTTGTGACAAGTCTTACTTATCAGCAGGTGTTGTGTTGCAGTGGATAACCACCTGTTTGTGTTGAGATGGAGTAGCTACTTGCAAGAGTAATGCCTGGACAGTTGCACTATACGCCCACTGCTGAAATGCCTAAAATATATGACATACGAGAGGCTGGTTGGAGAGGTCTGAAGGTTAAAGTCTTACAATAAACTTGTTTCATTGTTAAGCTAACAACTATGTCAAAGTATTAATGTTTTGTTTGTTGATTTATACCTTCATCCTGCTCTATAGGTAAATTGTTGTGATGCTTCCATACAGGTGTGGCAGTGCCAATCACAGCTGAATAACATTATGTCCACAGTAATTCATGTCTGTGAGTATGCAAGGTTTAAACGTGCAGAATTTGAGAATAAAGTATTCCATGCTTTGCTGTTGCCAATGTTTTTGCCTGTGTACATGCTTTTTCAACTGTTGTGGCTTATTGTATATATTTTTTCCTGACATCAGTACCTTGTCTTTGTGTCCACAGACCAACATGCAATGGAGTGGATGTATGGGTTACCATGACAAATACAACATTTTCCATGTTGAGTATTACCGTATTGCTACAGGCACATAGCCTACCTTGAAGTGGGTTATGCACAGGATTGTATTCTCAATTATTATAATTAGCAGAATAATAATTCTTCTTTGTGTAAAAACTTTACAGTAATTAGTATACATACTTACATTGTGCCATATCCAAACCCACAAGCATGCTCATTGCACAAGATTAGCATCCTGCCGAAATGATTGGTGTGCATATAGACTGCCTGCTCAGCTCTATGAGGAGTATATAAGTGCCTGTAGATCTTGGAAGTCCAGACTGCAGACCTCAATTTGCCATACATCTCCTCAGACCCATTAAGATACAGTTACAACTGATCTTTAGCAACCTTGTATGTTGTAAGGAGTGATTAACAGGGTTGACCATGGGTTGGCAGGCATGCTGACAAGGTTGATGCACAAGGCCGTGTATTGGCAAATAAATTATATTGCAATATATTGTGATTCTGGTACCCTTATTTTGATACAAATTGAGATGTATTGGGAGCATGAGTGTTTGACAGTGAGTGACATTGATTGTACATGCAACCTATTTCCTTAATACTGTAGCTTTAAAAATAAATGATATGATAACAGAAATTTTGAATTTAGATTTATTTTGAGGGATTGTATTTTCTGTATATAAAGTACCTGTAAGCTGTTTTGTCAATTAATCATTGAAAAGTCAGTGTGAATGAAAGTCTTTGAAGATTATAACTTAAACCATAGAGGTAATCACAAAGATTCATTTATTAGTTCCCGATATATGGATCCCTATCATTTGCAAAGCTTATTGTGATAAACTGGTAATATCTGTGGATACATGCAGTAGTATTTCTCATTGCAATTCATGGTTTGCCACTATGTTGTTTGTTCCTTTATGTCTCACCCAGGTCTAATCATCACATAGGCTGCTGTGATACTGAATCACTCACAAAACCAATGCTGGTCATAAGAGGTGGCTTAATGGTTCAGGATCTGACTTGGTTAATAGCATGCCATTCTTTCCACTAAGGGTGGATCATAATACTGATCACTGTATTGTCTGGTTATTAACAGCTACAATCATATAACAAATATTCGCTCGCTCACTCACTCACATCAGCGCACACACACACACACAGATGGTAACTGAAAAGAAAACTCAAAAGCATGTGTGTTTTTGTAAGCTGCTTATATTGATAAAGATTCAAGTTAACAGGCATTGAGTTATTAAATTAAGTAAAAGATTTAATACTTTGCTATTGGAAGATCTGAAAAGAAAAGATGTGAGAAGCATTACACAAAGAAAAACATTAAGCATGGCTATGCTTTTTCTTTATGTTGGAAAATATCAGCCAAAATTTATCGTCATACATTTCATTTTTCATGAGATATGGCATGCCCAACATTTTCTTTGTGTAGAACAGTAGAAGATATACATGTAATTGTCATCTTAATGCTTGACTTCTCGCAACAGTCTGTTCAGTGAGGAACTTACCATTTTCATCAAAATGTTTCTATATACTGATTGACATTTCAAACAATATGGAAACTATTTAGGCATAATATTGAAATCTCATCTGACATGGATCATACTTATTTCTGGAATGGTTTGCTGGATCGTTAACTAAAGGCAAGTATATGAAATCTTTGGGTAAAATGGATTTATTTGGTTATCACAATATAATTGCTTATAGTGACAAGATCATTTTTATAAGTGCAGTATAAGTATATAAATCTTTGGGAATATTCACAATATTGAAACAATATATACCGGTAGTTGTTTTGGGAAGAGAAATTAGATCAATCCATATAACTGGTACATTTTTATATGATCAAAAACAATAAAATTCTTAATTCATAAGTTATGGGATTAATCATGTACAGCGCATTGCAAACAATTGTGATCCAAACGCTGAAACTAGTCTTGGGTAATATGTTACTAAAGAGTATTCAAGGCATGAAGATCAAAATGTACATAGTTAGATTGAATAAAAGAAGGTGAAGTAAGGCATATAATTGCATTTGCTTAATATCAAGATTAAATATCCTGTATGGGCATCCTCATACTTTAACTATAATAGTTCAGGGCAAAAGTGTATATTATTACACTATACATGGTGGTAGAGCGAACAGTATTTCTTCATTAACATCCTGTGTTCGAATCATTTAACTGAGCAATACTAAGGAAACAAAATATATGTACATTTAGATGCTAATTTGGGGTAAGGGGAAGGTTAGTGGTTAAAGTCTTAGTTCATCACATAAAGGCCTGGTTTGGTTCTCCACAAGAGTGCCAAATGTGAATCCAGTTTGTGGTGTCCTCCACCATCATATTGCTGGAATATCACTAAAGCAGCATAAAACTATACTCACACAGGAACCAATTCATTTTCTCATTTGACATGGTAAAGGGGCATTGATTAACTCTTTTCTTATAAACTAACGTTGCTTATATTTAAGGGAACGATAAAAACGTGGCATCAAATCAACTAAAAATAATATTCATTTTAAAATCACTACATGTATAAGTCCTGCCAAGACAGAAAACAATTGTGTACATAAGCTTGAAAAAAAGTTTATAAATTGTGCCACTGTACTGTAGCTCACCTTGATATGCTGTCAGTACATATGAAGTCTAATGTGTTAATTGCTTTTCAAATAGTTTCTGCATAAGTTGCATTTAAGATGTAAAAACACAAGCTAAAGAATACATGCTAAAAATATACATCCTACAAAAATGAAATGTTTAAACGTTTATTTCTCAACTTCATAACTTCTGACATATATATTGTCTAGCCATAAAACCAATGAATTCAGATGTTCATAATACATCCCATACAATGACATACTGTATATCCACAAAACAAGCCATTGGTACACAAGTACAAGTCATTCAATGACATTGGTCATTTTGATAAGGGATTGGGTAAATAACACAAAGCAAACAGCAACTGCATATAGACACATCACATTTACAAAGTGAAAATGTTTCTATAATACTACAGAAACTATATGCACACAACCATACATGTCATCATTTCTTCCTAATTGACTTATCTCCAACATTCTCCTCAAAAGACTGTAATACAATCAAAATCCTGTTAACGGACATCTTAATTTTGTAATATGATGTTCAGTCATGTACAGCATGAAATAACAAAAGACTAGCTATGATTCAGATTTTCTTGTATGGTTCATTTGCAGAAATAAACATACAAATACTTGAAATATTTGTCATGGAATATATGCTACAAATAATTACAAAATGGTTTGTTTTCTCTAAAATCGATAATGGATAATTCATTATCATGTTTTATGGCTATTTTCAGCATGAGATAAATAACTGCTATTATGTATGCAGTGTTTCCAATTTCAGAGTATTTAATAACAAGATACAATCACAAATCCTCATTATCCCATGAAGAAAAGAAGCATTATTTTTCTATTTTTGTTATTATGTGTGTCATTCAACTGGATGCAAATACAATATTAAACTCAATATAAACATAAATGTAAATATATAAATATTTTGTTACTATGTCCTACACGTATTAACAACACATCACAAAATACATCTGATCTTTGCTTTAACAATCTACAATAAAATGCACAGGTTAAAACAAATGTATGTCCTCCTGTTTATACAACACAAAGCTTTACAGTTATTCACTACATGACATTCAATTTTGAATGTTTTTTTGTTTACATTTGTTTACAATCTGGATCAGGTAAGCATCTTATCTAGAACTGTAGGCAGATATCTGTTCCAGATTTCAAGATAAATAATAGCCACTCATTCATTTCATAGCTAAGTACAAGACATGTGAGCACTAGAGTTTCCAGTTTCAGAGTTTGTAATGTACCATATATTACCGTAGATAAGCCGAATTTTGAGGACAAAAAAGGCTGTCTGTAGAAAGGGGTCAACTTATCTACAGGTTGCACTTTCGTCAAACTTTTTCCAGGGGGTAAGAAAATGACATTGTATCACTTCGGTAAGTAATAACGAGATACAATGACACTCACTAATTATTATAAATATTTACACAATTTATACAGTTTTACAACATTTGTCCTATCATTGTTTTAGATGATCCATACTTACAGACACCAAGTTCAAACATTCTGGAATGCCTACCTGATAGTGTATCACTGTGTGCATGGTTAATTACAACATGAAATACCTACCTACTATACTCCTCACAACACAATTTTTTTTGTCTCATTACATTTTCATTTATTGAAATTGCAAATCATGGAATGATGCAGTAGAAAGGTGAAACGTATGTACACACAATTAACAAAATGATATGAAATGGTTTTGTACAGGTGACCATGCAAGCCAGTCCATACGTGTGACGTTGTTGATCTAAACAACGTCATTAACAACTCTTTCTCAATGTGTACAGGCATTATCATTCATAAAAATTAAGTTAGGAGAGGAATTGTTGTGCCAGAGGAATTATTACAGGTTGCATGTGTGAAGTGTGGAGCATATTCATGCCACACATTTTGCATGTTGTTTCTGAGGGTGCTTGTGTTTGGGTGATGTTATCAGATAAATCAATCTGACAGTCACTAAAGGTTATGTATTCGTTATATTTACCTTTCAGTAACATTGAACTATGTTGCGAATATGACCTTTCAGTATATTAGGTGTCAGCGAATAAATTCATGAATACAATATTGAGTTATGATTGATACAATATTGAATGCCCATGTTGCACAGCAATAAAGTCACTCATGACACTTAATTTTTTTGTAAGGAGTTCATTTATGACCCAGATTTACTCTGACATACTTTGCACAAAATCATGATCATCAAATTCATTAATTTTTACTCTACATTATCACATA